GCGCAAACCATTCGCCCCCCCCCCCCCGGCCCCCCCAAAAAATAATTAAAGTAAATTCATCGCTACCATGAGATTCTACAGAGCGGAGAGAAATTCCATAAATTTTCTCGCGTACTTATTTTAGAGTTAGCATGCAAGAATTATGTTGTTACAATCTGTCATACAAATAGATGAAACACGACTTTTTTTGTTTCTTCTAGCTTGTATATTAATTGGGTTCTCTCTAAAGCTTTGGTATTTACTTGGCAGCATTCACTCTTGTTCCATTTTCTGTCTGATTTTTATGCGGCTGTTTGCTTCTATTTAGCAAGGCCATGTTTATTTGTTTTCCAAGTCAGAACTAAGGAAAACAAGGTGATTTGTTTCTAAGTAAATGACGTTAAGCAAGGTGAACACAACAGAGAAATGGGGTTTAACGTCCACTCCACACAAAGTAGGTTATTTCGGGACTAACACATGGTTCAATTTTATTTCAATAATTCGCTTGCGCGTAGGGGTCTTTAGCAGTGGGAGGAAACCTGGGAATCGAAACTATGCCAGTTGACTCAATGACAGACCTTATGATACAGTGCGCACGTGCTAACCATTCGCCCCCCCCCCCAAAAAAAAAAAAAACCCAAAAAAACCCAGGTTGAAGGAGAATGAAACTACCGGTGATATGAGAGAGAGAGAGAGAGGTCATTTCGGGACTAACATATGGTTTAATTTTATTTCAAAAATTCGCTTGCGCGTAGGGGTCTTAAGCAGTGGAAGGAAACCGTTTAAATATTAAACAAATCTTACCAAAACATACTTTTTCATGGACATAACCTAGTTTAGATCATTTTCTTTTGATTTTACTTGGCAGAATTTGTTGGCTTGCGTAAATAACTTAAGCACTCATTCTGCTATAATTTCCATGCAAGCCAGTCTCTTTAAAAATGCACTTTGTAGTCATTTAGGTACGAATGCCAGTAATTACAGTAAAACGCAATTTCAGACCACGCCGCCTTCTTGCATATTCATGAAGAAATCATCCGAGAATTCCCTCTCTGGCCATTGCTGGATTGACTTCTAATACCTGCACTTTTGAGGGAGTTTGTCTATTCTTCCCGTTCAATCAAATCTATCCCAAGTACAGCAACTCGACAGCCCTTCGTTTAATCTATGGTCTTCCCTAAAACTTTGGACAGTGATTTATGGTATTAAAAACGGTAAAAGTATATTGTTGGTCTCCAAACAGTACTGTTAACATTGTATTCGTTTTGATAACCTCTTTTGTCACGCAATTAGTTTTCTGCAATATTCTGCTATGAACTGGTTAATATGCATTGGTGACGTAACGTTATGTAAACATATTTGGAGCTCTGTTTATACCCGAATTGTTACGGAGTTAGGTATTGGTTGTTAATTGGACTATTGACCAGTTATAATTTGGAACAGAAACTTGCTTTTATTACGACAGTGCTTGAGTGGGATTAGGTCTTATCATACGAAACATTGCTAGGAGTATAGTTTCTTGTGACTTAAACCAGACTTCAAGTTCATTTCTTTTATGAATTCTTAAATCGTTTTATTAGTCATGTTCTGTCCTTTGTTTCAGATGTACAAGAGGTCTTCGATCTTTTCGATTTCTGGGATGGTCGGGATGGTTTAGTTGACGCCGTCAAAGTGGGAGATTTGTTGAGGTGTACAGGTTTAAACCCAACAGAAGAACACATTACAAAATTCGGTGGAACCAAAACGCCAGGTACGAGTATTTGTGTATAGATATAACAAATGGAACACATAAATTCTGCTACCAGGACCACCTTGTGGAGGCAATAATATAAAGACGCCTCTATCATTAGAAAATTACTGGAAAAAAGTCCCAAGTTTCAATTTTTAGCCCGTCGAGTCAGGGCTTTTGTTGTCACTTCTGTCATATCTGTTCAGTTAAATTACTTGGTCCAAAGGACCAGGGCAGGACAGGACAACCTTAAAGGGATATATTTAGACACGGTTGGCGTTTTTTCAGTTAGATTTAGAACAAGTGCTTATTTAGATTGATTAAAATCAAATTGCTTTGGCACGTTGAGGTAGGACCCAGGCAGCTTGTCGGAGCTTATTTTGACATTTTTGACTGTTCAGGCTACACTAGGGCTGCCCCAAGTCTATAATTTGGTCTATAGGGGTAGCTCGAACCGGGGAGTAACATAGACTAGGTAACACTGGCCTACCGCTTCTGGTTTCGGAGTTTCGAATACAACCCGGGCAGCGCCGAGTTATCCGCTACTACCTATTATAAGCTACCGGTAAAGTTATATTAATAGATTTCAGACAATTACTTTTACTTTATTAAACTTTTCTTGTCATTGCAGGGGAGAAACAACTCCCTTACGAAGAATGCAAGGCCATCTGGGATCAGGCTAAAGCTATTAAGGACACCATGACCCATAAAGATTTCCGTGAAGCATTCAAATCTTTCGATCGTGAAGGCCAGGGATTCATCTCAGCAGCTGAAATGAGACACATGCTCAACGCCATGGGTAAGACATACTGAATTTATATACATCTAATACACAACAGTTTCAATGGATGTTTTAATGGTTGGCAACCTACCTCGAAATCATATTCCTTGGAGCAATCAGATTAAAATACAGATCTATATTTCGTTTCGTTTTTTTTTATACTTTCGATGGCCTACACTACATGAAGATCTGACAAGTTGTAGCCATAGGTCACATCAGGGGTCAAAAGACCGACTTATGACCCTATGACGTCAGACACCTATCAGCATTGATGTTACTAGTGGATTACCCACAGTTCCGTGCAAAACACGCCTAAAGCTCGCCGTAACAGACCGTTTCATTGGCTTAACCCTGACACCATTCAGACCACGAGTTACATAACAACTCTTCCAGATCCAAGTGTAGTAAAGACAAGTAAAACCAAATTTTGAACTACAAAAACGAAATGAAATAGGATCTGTGTTTTATCCAGATTGTCCTTGGAGTATTGTTTTCAAGTTTATGTGAATCAGAAAATACATTTACAAAATACATGTAATTGGGTATAGTTAGACTCGTCAGTTAAACATACATTATGCAAAAGCTAAATCTGCCTAATGTAGGTCTTTCTTTAGGCCTGAAATGTTTTCTAAATTATTAATTAGACATTAATTAACTGATCCAAGCCATAATCAACTCTCGATGGCATCGGATGTCTCCGATATTAAACATATTAGAACGGTTCAGCCATATTTTAATTTAATTTAAAAATGGAGGAGCGAGACTTAGCTTCGAACAGCCAGTGCGGTGGTTGCAATTATGGCACACGTCTTGTCAAACCTTCAAAGGCTAATATCTTCGCTCGCAATAGAGTAATTGGAATGTAAATCAACACTTTTTATGAGAAAGGTTTCTCGGCCGTGTGTTTTATCCTTTATCGTCAGATTTGGGGCAGGATGGGCACTCAAAGCAAGAGAAAAAGATATAGACATTATGTGATATCACAATTAATGCTTTGCATCAATAATTAAATTGAATCACAATGTCATTGTATTAATTCATAATAAAAATTGACGTCAAACGAGGTGTTGAATTTCTCTGTTTAAAAAGCTCAATGTGTATGTATATACGCCAAAATGATGATAGAGGCCATGCGGGAGGGGGGGGGGGAGATACATTGTCTCAGGAACATGACCCCCCCCCACCCTACACAAATTCCTGGATCTGCCCCTGGACCTTTAGCAGTGATAGAAAACCGGAGAACCCGGCGAAAACCCACGAGGTTGGACAAGGCGACCCTACTCCTTGATACATACAGCCGGGGAATCGATGTTCCAGTTAGGCACTCCATTCACTTTGGTTTTTTTTATTTCAGGTGACAGACTTTCAGACAATGAAATAGATGACATTATTAAATATACAGATATTCGAGAAGATTTGGAAGGCAATATTAAATATGATCGTAAGTAATCTCTGTATATTATACTTCTATAAAACTACCTGGTCACGTGACATTTACCTTAGATTAATTTACATATTTCTGCCGTATCTGACAGTCACTGATGTTTGTTTGATGCCTTAAAATTCCGTCTTGTTGTTTTATTATACGCCCACATTGAAATATGGTTTTATATTGTCGTCGCCTCCGTCCGCCCGTCGGTCCGGCGTCCACACTTGCTTGTGGACACTCTAGTGGCTAAATATAATATCCGATTGACTTTAAATTTATACACAGCGTTTAAGGTCATTAGACGAAGAAGCCTTTGGTTTTCAGCGATTTCCGATAATTACTTCCAGAGTTATGGCCCTTGATCCCTTTGAAGAATCTTGTGGACGCTCTAGCTAGAGGCTAAAGTTAATGCCGGATTGACTTGAAATTTATACACAGTGTTTAAGGTCATGAGACGAAGACGCCTCTTGATTTTCAACAATTTCCGATAATTACTGCCAGAGTTATGGTCCTTGATCACTTTGAAAAATCTTGTGGATGCTTTAATTAGAGACCATAGTTATCATCTGCCTAATTTTATATTTTTACACCGTGTTTACGTCTATATATAATCATTTCGATTGACTTTAGATTGATACACAAGAGTTTAAGATCTTGAGACGAACAAGTATATTGATTTTCAATGATTTTTGATAACTTGAAAAGCTAAATCCATGGTATTAAATGTTTTGGATACTAAAGTTTGCATGGGCCAAACAAATTCTAATGATTTTCTGATAATTACTTAAAAATCTTAATCAATGTATTATAAATGTTTCATTACTGACAAAAGTAAAAATATGCGACAACTCTTGTTGACTGACCGGACGATTTAGCTGCTGTGGGCGTATGTTTCGTTGCGTGGCAACCTATCCATTTTTGTTTTGTTATTATTGATTAATACGGGTAAATGCTATCATTTATTGAAAATGTAAGTGGATATAGCGTATGATTTAAAGACCAAGAACAGCTATTAATTCCATTCTTTCACATTTCGTTTCAGAATTTATCGAGAAAGTTTTGGACGGACCCCCTGGTGTGTAAAGTTTTAATAAATTGTAGGAATCTTTAAGAGAGAAAATGTGAACTGTATTTGGGAATCTGATTTGAAAGAACAGTAACAGTGTTAAGTTTTCAAAATTGGAATACATTATTCTATACTACAGTGTGTTTATTGGATTAAGTTTGTTCTATCTAAAATTTCAATCCACAATTTTAATTTTTGTCTTTTCGAAAGGTAAGAACCGTAACCGGTTTACATTATCTTATATTATTTATTGTGTCATTTTACAATGTGTGACATATCCTCAGTGTACTAAAAACAAAACTACAGTTATTAACTGGAAAACGAAAGTATTTTCGGAGGTTTTTAACTAAACAAAAATCATTTGGTGAACTCTAAATTATTTAATTTAAAAACTATTATGTATTTAATTTATGTTTTGTTTTTGTATCATAAAGTGTGAATCTAGTTAGACTATTAAACTTTCCTCATAATTTGTTAACATCGGCCTTAAGGGGGGACAACTCTTCATACACCACGAACAAGGGGCATATTTTCGAGCGGTCATTCTCGGGGTTACTCCGGGTGTCGTTTTAGCTCCTACGTTATTGTAATTATGTTATGTGATACTGGATGATATTTCTAGTCATGTTTTAAGAGTGTTTATACCGTAAAATACCTTCCATTTAGTTCTTATTAGATATTATTTTTGAACGTGACAACTTAATTCTACCTGACCCTTTTTGTTTCCATGCATGTTTCAACGGATTATACACATTCGATGTACATTTTCTTGCCTGTTCGTCAAATTGAATTATTTATAAACGCCTGTTATTGCTCATCCAATACTTTTACAAAATAAAAAAACTATGTAAATGAGAACAAGACATGGTTTGAAACATAAAGCTTTACGACATGGGAATATTAGTCTACTTGTTTGTATATTTACTGGCTGCATTTACATTTCAATGAATGACAATCTCTCAAATTATCTACCCAATTGCTGTTTTTTGTCCTAATGAAATAATTCAGAGAATAATCAATTCACATTGTTTCTTTACTGGTTTTAAAACAAAGCCACATTTGGCAATGATGATTTAAGGGGATGTGGATGGCCGAATGGTTAGTGCGTGCCCGCTGTATCATAAGGTCTGTCATTGAGTCAACTGGCGTGGTTAAGATCCCCGGTTGTACGTGACAAGGAGTAGGGTCGCCTGTCCAACCTTGTGGGTTTTCTCCGAGTCCTCCGGTTTCCTCCCACTGCTAAAGGCCCCTACGCGCAAGCGAATTATTGAAATAAAATTGAATCATATGTTAGTCCCGAAATGACCTAGCTTGTTTCGAGTGGACGTTAAACTCCATTTCTCGCTCTATTTCTATCAATGATGATTTGCATTTTTGAAACAGTCTTAACTGCATAACTCAGCATATTATTTTATTCTCTTTATTTTATTGATGCTACGCACTTGGATTTCTTTGAGAGACTGTCATTTATAAGATGGACTTAAAGTATTAACTAGATTTCGTATATACTACAATGGGCACAGAAGTGACTTAGTCGATGTCAATTCTAGTAGCGGGGATTTATCGGACGTTAACTGATATATTTAATTAAGTGAGTGGAAGAGCTCATTTTTCACACCTTTATTACATTGAAGTAGCGAATAAAATTTAGGGGGAACCATGAATACCATGTGACTTTTCAGTTTTCTAACTTTAGGTGTTTTTGGCTCTGTATCATCCTTAGGCTAGATCTTCTGACCGATTTCATTAATATGCCTAAAGGTGATGATAAAAAGAAATCATTAACCTTACTTTTATTCTGCACACGGCGACCCATCTACTTCATACTTCGAGAATAGATCTCTGCACTAATTGACCGCCATATCCAAATATTCGTATACTGGTTTGTAACGCGGTTCTACTCCGTTTCACATCTGTCATACACACAAAGATTAAATAAACTTTCATTAAATGGAAGCAGAATAAATACCTAAACATAATTCTCGAAGTATACTTAGTGTTTTCGACTAAAATCGTCGATTTAGGACTAAAAATGTCGGTCAACTACCATAGTGTCTGTTCTCAAGCGGATCTAACCGTAGACAGCCAGCCTACGTTTAGTATGCCTTAATTTAAGCAAAAGTTTAGATTTGTGAAGAAAAAAAATGACTGTCCATGTTTATAAATCTTATTTTAAAAAATATAAAAAAAGAAAAACGACTGTCTTGAAATGAAATCATTATTGCGATTAAAGGATAAGAAAAAATTGTTTATCAATACATACTATCTAGCTAGACTAATTTAGATCCACCAAGTCAGGTCAGGACAGTTCAAGGTAGTATCTTACTCTAAAGGATGTGTCTACCCTTTTCTCCTGATCTTTCTAGATCTAAAGCCGATCAGATCATTGATGCAATCTGCGTAGTATTACCATAACGAGATACAGGTAGAAAAGATCTAATCTAAAGGTAATAATATACCTGCAGTATATATTATCTTACCTGTATTATACCATCAAATTCCCCGTGTATTACAGTGTCATAATATCGGCTTACTCGTATATTTTAATTACTTACACACGGTTTCCTGATTGATAACACATGGCACAGAGTCTGAATGGGTAAATTCAAACTGCCATATGTAGAATAACGAACAGGGTCTTAATGCAAAAACTTTTAGAAGACATCTTCATTTAGTAAATCCATTTATTTTGTATTTTATTGTTAGGCTCTTTAATAGAATAATACATCTTGTAGGTTAATGCAAAAATTTTTGAAAAACATCAGTTTGCTATTTGCTATTTTGTATTTTAAGCGCTGTCTTGGAAGTTATTGTTAGAATAATGCTTCTTGTGGGTTAATGCAAAAAACGTTTGAAAAACATCTTAATTTGTTAGTTGTCTTGGAAGTTATTGTTAGGCTATTTAATAGAATTATACATCTGGTAGGTTAATGCAAAAACTTTTGAAAAACATCTGAATTTGGTAGACCCATTATCTTGTACTTTAAGCCCAGTAGGTGTAGATTATTTAGTTTTCTAATGCAAAAACCCTTGAAAGAAATCTTAATTTGGTCAAGACATCTTTTTGTATTTTAAGCCGGTCTTCAAAGTTTATTCTACCTGAAGACTATTCCACTTTTATTTGGGTTACAGATTTGAAAATTACCACGTGTGAACAGAAATATTTAAAATATGTCGCTATTGAGTAGGTAGTGCATTTGTGGAATTTACAAGTTCAAACTTGACGTAATCAATCTGGCCTTAAATAAAACCCCTACACTTTAATTTATTTAGCATAGAATTAAGACAGTGCACTGGCTAAAGACCGCAGACACGACGCTAAAAACGTAATTACAGTATTTAGTCTTATACATTACACCAAAATATCTTTGATGCTAATCGAGTCTACCATCAGGTAGAATACTTGTCTAATTTACTTCAGGTAATAATTGAGACTGGTTATCCGCGAAGTTCCTGGCAGGATTCCACGAAATCTGTCTGTCGTCACGCAAAGTGTAAACTAGAACGGTATTAGATTTCTTGATGTAAAATATTTTACCGGCACAAATTTCAACCTGGTTACCTAAGTTATGTAGACTAAAAAAACGATATCATTGTGTAGACTTATTCGGTGTTCTATAATTCAAATTCTTAAAGTCATCATATTTATAGAAAATAAAAAAAAAGTTTTGCGACACCTATCAAGTTCTATCTGAAATTAATAAATTTGATTTTCACCCGAATAGAATACTTGAATATGTTAATAACCTTATTAATTAAAAGAGGTACAAGGAGCGGGTTGTCTACTACGCGTCATGGTGCTTTATTGTTCAAGTGGCTTTGAGTTTTAACGGATTTAAATGCTTAAGACCATTATACGTACTCTACGGTAGATACCCAAACAACAAGGGGTCTATATTGAACATATGTTTTATTCAAGAACTGGGTTAATCTAATCTGTTATCTCACTAATCAAAATGATCTTCAGGGGAATAACTCTTAATATTACTCGATTCCATTTATACCAACTCAACCTTTATTGCATTAACTTATCACTGTTCACTGCCATATTAATTAATTATTGGCTATTAAAAGAAAAATGGATTTGCTCTCTTTCTATATACAATCGTTGGCCATCTGGGATATTTCGGCAACATATCATATTCCAGAACTACCAATTTTGGCACGTGTTCTCACCACGCTATATGCTAATACCAAGTTCCAAATAAGTCCATAGCCACCCCCATAGCAACCAGATTTGTATACAACAGCTATGGCATTGAACACGGACAGTTATAAAATGCATAAAAACCGGCGATGCATGAAGTAGTCCAGCTTTGAAATAATTAAATTGGCTATCGTAGACGTGTAAATTAGGCGAACAGTCCACGAAAATGCTATCTTAGCTCGATGATACGGATATATTCATATCAGCCCACCTTTGTTACCAGGTGCCAAAAATTACTGTTCAAACATATTCACGTCACTTCCGATCGAGCCAAGAAAAAATGTCAGGGTTACTATCAATATTTGATCAAACATTAAATTTACCGAAACGAAGTTTAAATGAGTTATATTTAGATATTTGGGTTCAAATATTGCTGAGTAAATCATCAAAATGGTTGGTGGTGTGGAATTGGTCAGTGGGACCATTTGATATGAAAATGGATGTAAGCTGTGTTCCCGTGAATTGGAATGGACTGGCCTTATAAAAGAGGGGATATGGGGGTTGCCTAACACCGGCATCTGTAGCATTCCATATCTCTAGTCTTTCTCCTGGTAACATTTGCAGTAGCAGCATCGAATTTAAACCACAACACAATGGTAAGTAAAAAAACATTACTAAAACCGTCTCACCTTCATTGTCTATTATATATGGCTATCTATCATACTACCACCGCCTTGCATGTCTTTCTATTTAATCGTATTCTTAATAACTTTATATATTAACAGGAATAATCATATTTAATTCTTTAATAAACTCTTATTAATATTAATAATTAGAAATACCACCGGCATGTGTTAAATAGTATACTATTGATGTACTAACTGCAATAGTATATACATAATTAATAATATTCTTGATTAAATTTCATTAATCTTTTGTAAATTATTGTCTAAAAGAGCTAATATGTCTACACTTACTTTACTACAAACATTTTTATTAGTTGTAAGAAAAACTTAACCTGGAACCGAGCCAAAATTATTAACCTAATCAGCATTAATTTGTATGGGAACTTTCGTAATTTAGACTATATTAACCAAACAATTTTATGTGAAAGCATTTAAATTGAACTAATAATAACGATCCGAAAACAAATTAAAATAAAAAAAATGAGTTCCCCAGAATCACTTCCCAACACCTTTCCTCCATATCCTCCCAATCCACCCAAACTTTCCAACCTAGCAATACAACTACACCAATGTCACTGTATACCCTCCGATAACCTTGTCTGAACCTACATCGATTACTGTAGTAATGTATCATTTAGTTGTAGTTCTTATGGTAGAGCAATCACCTTATACATTTCAAGGGTAATCAAGAACTCTGTTCATTTCATTGTGTCGGTTACTCTAAAAGTCATATCTAAGTCAAATAATGTTATCTCCATTGACTGTTCGTGTTTTTAAGTTGCACACCTGGATACCTTTTCGACTGGAGCTGTTTTTATGGATAAATGTCTTTACAGAAATAGTGCCATTTTGTATGTTAAGGTTATTTTGTTACGATTCAAAGACAACCGCTTTTGTAACATATTAGAGAATTTGTTTTATACAAGACATTTTATAAATTGGTTATTTTGTTACGATTCAAAGACAGCCGCTTGTGTAACACATTAGAGAATTTTTTTATAAGACATCTTATAAACGGTTAATTAGGGACGAAATTCTCATCACTTTGACCTTTCGGTACTTGATGTAGATTTTTGACCTTTCGTTACTTGATTGAGATTTTTGACCTTTCGGTACTTGATTGAGATTTTGAAAGGCAAATTAAACATACATTATGCAAGAGATAAATCTACCTATTTCAGGTCTTTCTTTAGGCCTGAAATGTTATCTAAATTATTAATTAGACATTAATTAACCTATCCAGGCCATAATCAACTCTAGATGGCAGCGCTAGCCTGCGATCTTTAGTGGATTGTAAGCCGATTTACTGCATAATTTTCCTTCTCCATTAAACGATTAAATGGATAATCGAGACTATGCTGTTTATCGTACTGACTTTAGTAATGATGACCGAGGCTTATGGGAATTTCAGTCGCTTAGTTCTCGGTTCATAGTGGATCAATTTGAATGAAATTTTCAGCAAATTGCCTATACATTATCTAGTTTTTAACTATTATAGTGAGAACTGCCAACTCGTTACCGAATCTCCCATAATGCACCTTTAATTAATAACCGTCAAATGAGGATATTCAGGAAGATTAAAACTTATAATCGACTAAAAAGAGATGTCACAACTTATACAACATGAAATATAAGAAATAAGAGATATTAATATTAATATTAATGTCCACGACAAGAACCCTTAAAACCTTCTTTGATAGGCATTTATTAATTAATAAGAAAAGTACAAAGTTATGAATACACAATTATTGAATTTATTACCATGCAACGCTTCGCCAAGGGCATTCTTGCCTTTGTTGATAAAAGATGAGAATATCTTCGTCCAACTTTGCACAGTTATTGTGGACCCACAAATTTCTGAAGCCACCGTGGCTCAGTGAGTAAGACGCGGGCTCGCTAACCCGGAGGCTCCGTGTTCGGTCCCTATACGTTGGCCGAGAAAGTTCATTGGGATTTTCCGGCGTGGCCCCTCCGTGTCAGTGGTGCAGAACCGAGGGCCTGGCAAGGGACAATGTATAGTCGTTCGGATAAGACGAAAAGCCGAGGTCCAGTGTACACATTGGTGTACACGTTAGAGATCCCTTGGCAGTTGGAATTCGATACAAGAGTAGGCCATAGTGCCGCTGCCCGGGCAAAATTCCTTAATAGCATACTGTATAGCGTCTTCAGTAACCCAGTCAGGGCAGAACAGTAGGACGTTAAACCCCATTTCATTTCATTTCATTTCCCACAAATTTCCACATTCTGTTATCCTTAAAAAGTAGGAGATATCATAACTTATACCAACGGTGATGAAACATAAGAAATCGACAATATGGTTTAATAATTAAGAGATACAGCAACTTATAATGAAAAATACGCAGATATTATAACTATTAAACTAAGAAATATGATAACTTATGCAAACGATGATAACATATTACTCATGTAACTTTAACGAACTTCCCTGAGAAATATTAAAGATACATTATGGGAGATAAGATAACGAGATGGCAGTTCTCGCTATAATAGTTAAAAACTAGATAGTGTAAAGGTAATTTGCTGAAAATTTCAGTCAAATTGATCCACTATGAATCGAGAAACAAGCCGGTGAAATTTTTGCATAGTCTCGGTCATCATTACTAGAATCATTAATATAAACAGCATAGTCTCGATTATCCACTTTTTCTGATTTATTTATCAGTGGCCGTTAGCGGCATATAGGAATCTAATCCAGCCAACATCGAAGGCTAGCCTTGACATCGAGAGTTTATTATGGTCTGGATAAGTTAATTAATGTCTAATTGATAATTTAGATAACATTTCAGGCCTAAAGAAAGACTTGTAATAAGCAGATTTTGCTCTTGCATAATGCATGTTTAAATAAGGAATGTTATAACTTATAAGATATTGATGAAACTTAAACAAAATAAATAGATATCGTAGCTTTCACACAGAGTCACGGAGCATGGAAGGTTAAGAATTTCTGTACGAGCGTTGATAAAATATCAATTATTATTTAATTTCACTTCGAATAACAATAAAAAATATTATGAATTAATATAGTCGGTGGGTAAGAGCGCCTACATTATTAGAGGTTTCTAATTTGGCACGGGGAGCCACGGTGGCTAAGTGGGTAAGATGCTAGCGCGCTAGCCTGGAGGTCGCGTGTTCGATCCCTGTATTGGCCAAGAAAGTTCATCGGGATTTTCCAACGTGGTTTCCCCTTGTCAGTGATGCAGGACGGAGGGCCTGTCAAGGACAGTTGTCTAGTAGTTCGGGTCGTCCCGTGTATACATTGGCATGCACTTAAAAGATCCCTTAGCAGTTGGAATTCGATATAAGAGTAGGGCATAGTTTCGCTGCCCGGGCAAAATTTACCTCATAGCACACTGTATGGCGTATGTCCGTCTTCATTAGCCCAGTCGGAGTAGAACAGTAGGACGTTAAACCCTATTTCATTTCTATTTTCGTACACACACGTTATGAAAATTGTCTGTGTGAAATAATATTATATAGTATTAAATGGATCGGCCATTGTTTTATTCATTAACTGGTATTCGAGGATAACTCTCCAAGGGTCATATTCTACGATTATTACGATCTCTATGTTATCCCGGTTTTTATTTTAAACAAATCTGATAATCGTTTGACTAAGTGGAAGCTATCATAATCAGTACAGGGGTTCTAAAAGTTTAAAATAATGCGCCTATAAAATGTGAGTATTTTGTTCTGATTATTGACTGCAACATCAATTCATCTATCTAATAGATCTCTTCCTTTTCTTTTTATTTCAGTCAACCTTATCAAGAGATACGATTGAAGGTGAGTAAACCAAAATGACGTTCTTTCTCTCTGTCTGTTCAATATCCCTATACATTAAAGATACATTATGTAAGATTTAGATAAAAAGCTAGTCATTCTTGCTATAATAGTTTCAAAATAGATAATGTAAAATGAATAATTTGAAAATTTCATTTGAATTACTCTATTGCGAGCGAAGGTATTAGCCTTTGAAGGTTTGACAACTACTGTACTGGTTGTTCGAAGCTAAGTCTTGCTCCTCCATTTTTAGCTTAAAATATGGCTGAACTGTTCTAATCTATTTAATATCGGAGAAATCCGATGCCATCGAGAGTTGATTATGGTGTGGATAAGTTAATGTCTAATTAATAATTTAGGAAATATTTCAGGCCTAACGAAAGACCTGCAATAGGCAGATTTAGCTCTTGCATAATGTATGTTTAAGTTAAAATGTTGACTTTTCGTATACCCGTAGGCTACTTTTAGTGGAAGCTTTTACACCTCATTTTTTATTTTCACCGGTTTTCTGAAGGTTAAGGAAATCATTTTTCTCGTAAGCCTTACCACCCACTTAAATATAGATAATGGCCATATTTTTTAAGATTATATTGGAACACAGTCCAAGTTGTAGATATACATTTCACTCTATTAGTTTGGCACGTTTTAGGTACCGGTAAATAGTCATGGAATTTAGTCTCGTACATATTGTCATATCTTACTGTATGTTCACGTATATACACTCTTTATACTGGATAAACAAGAATATGCTTATTTTACGCGTACATCTGTTTCTGCTATTATTCCCCACCTGTAATGTGATATGTCTTAGCACGCGCTATGCTATGTATTTTATGTAGAACCAAATCGTCTGCTCGTGCCGTTTGCTTCTCGTTTATACTTAGGCAATATCCGGAAGTAGACACCCCCACCCCTCCCGCAAATTAAAAACAAATTCAATTAAGAACTGAAGTTTCTGATTTTTCTATTTCGTTATAGAATTATTTCTGATTTAAACAGACATATATAATACTAATTCTAGATACTGATAATAAAGTGCGGGTCAATTAATTCATAATTTGCTAAATGAATTCAATAACTGCGCCGCCATTTTGGATGAACTTCACTCCTTTTCATGGCGACTGCTTCGTGTGCAGATAAATTATAAGCCGCGTCTTAAACTGTTTTATACAGCTGTATAAAACATTATAATAAAGATAAACTAAAACAGCTTTTAAACAAAACTTGTGTAAATGTCAGGTAACTGAATGAAACAGGTTAATAACCTTGTGGATTCCGGTGAAAGTCAAACATGATGGTTATGTACGCCATGACGTCATGAGATAGCTTTAGAAAAAGAGAGGCATCAAGGAATATTTCCCGACGTTACTAGGCTAGCAGCTGGTAATTAAACTGGCCGGTTTTATATGAGTCCTAGATATCTTGTTCTTAATAAGTAGGCTACTCTAGATATGATTAGTCTGAATTCTAAGAATAAATTCAGTAGAGCTCTGATTAAACTAGCCGCCATATCATTATTTTGAACATAAATTACGATAAATTCAGAGTCCTAATAGTTTAGGAATGTCTGCATATTTTAATATATTTGATGATTTCATTTGGCCATATTAATTCCCCCGTAGTTATTGTCTTTCAAGAATACAACGTGTAATATCAGTACTTCGCGCGAGATGTGTGGTCTATTTTTAGTAACGTATGCTCTAGAGCTAGTATGTTTCCATAAATGGGGATGCCTTATTCTCTCTTGTACCTTTAGTTCTACCAGTGCCAGTATGTATCGTATCGTATCGTGTAACGGTTGTACCGTAAATCATACAAAATACGATACATTCACTTAATGATAACGCAACCGGCATATTGACTATCCCAATAGCGTTTCTTAATATAACTTCCACGTGGTGGCTTATATGTATATATCAAGAACAAATTCAAGTAATATCTTTTTAATGGATTTAAAATTAGATTACTTGCATATAGATGATTAACGTATTCAAGCCTTCACATTAAACATAATATATTAACTTCACTAGGCGAATTTCAAATCTCTCACTAGTTGACTTTGCACAGGTGGTAGCATTGGAACAATTTATGCATGCATTTTTGTAAAGGGAGAAAATTGCAGGTTTATTCTGTCAAAAAATGATAAGATTATTTCCTATTCTCCATGCAGTCGTCATCTTTGGTATTATCATAGCAGTGCACGGGTGCTAGCATTGGATGCACTTTCGTATTCTCCACGTAGTTGTCAGCTTTGATATAATCATAGCAGGGCATAAATTTACATTATAAAAAACTAAACCGACTGATGTTATATTATGCGCATTTAACACTGTCCTTGTTATTTTTTATATTTCAGAGGTACGAGAAGTCTTCGATCTCTTTGATTTCTGGGATGGTCGTGATGGTGACGTCGACGCTTTCAAAACCGGAGACATGTTAAGATGTTTAGGTTTAAACCCCACACAAGCCCTCATTACCAAAAATGGCGGAACCAAGGCCATGGGTTAGTATATGCGTATATTCTAGTTAGTTCGTTCTCTCCATTGTCACTGAACTTGCCTTGATATGTTGCCAATGGTTTCATGTCTGGAAGTTGTTATATGGCACATGTTTGTTTGGCAATGATAAATCGGCTGCTTTCATCTGGTAAAAACAAATTAATTGCCTGTGTGTTGTGGGATTAATAAAAACATGACGGTACTAGATGATTGTATTAAAGCACGATTTGTGTGTTAATAGGACCCGAGTCGAGCTATAGTAAAAGGTAGATAACTCACAATTAAATCTTCACGAGATGTATGCAGTCAGACCAGTCTTCTTTACCAGCTTTATTAATGACATTTCAATGCCATAATATCTCACAACTTTAGTGTAACATTAGTCTCTATAACCGACAGAACAGGCCGTTTCGCCAGTTCCACCATGTGTTTGGTCAACCGATTTTATAGCAAGTGTATCCCTCCGACCCCACCCCCACCACCCTACAAGTGAAAATAAAAATTAATTTGAAGTGAGAGAGAGAGAGAGAGAGAGAGAGAGAGAGAGAGAGAGAGATCAATGGGGTTTATCGTCCACTCGACACAAACTAGGTCATTTTGGGACTAACATATGGTTCGATTTTATTTCAATAATTCGCTTTAGCAATGGGAGGAAACCGGAGGACCCGGATAAAACCCACGAGGTTAGGCATATGGTTCGATTTTATTTCCATAATTCGCTTTAGCAATGGAAGGACACCCGAGGACCCGGAGAAAACCCACGAGGTCAGACAGGCCACCCTACTCCTTGTCACGTACAAGCGAGAAAATCGAAACAATGCCACTTGACTCAATGACAGAGCATCTGACCCAACGCCCACGCGTTAACAATTCGGCCAAGCAACCCTCAAAAAAAAAAAAAAAAATTAAGAGAGTGCTAGACATGACAGACCTTCTGATTCACGCGAACGCGTTAACCATTCGGCCACCTCCCCCGCCCATTATACAACGAAAAAAAAAAACAAATTAAGAGAGTGTTAGACATGCGCAGCAGTACTCGTGTGACTGAATATATATATGACCTGTTGATGTGTTTTATTTAAATAGTTAATTACTCTTTGTAATATATATGACCTGTTAATTTATTTTAAATATCGTGTGATTGAATATATATGACTTGTTAATGTATTTTAAATATCGTGTGATTGAATATATATGACTTGTTAATGTATTTTAAATATCGTGTGATTGAATATATATGACTTGTTAATGCATTTTAAATATCGTGTGATTGAATATATATGACTTGTTAATGCATTTTAAATATCGTGTGATTGAATATATACGACTTGTTAATGTATTTTAAATATCGTGTGATTGAATATATATGACTTGTTAATGTATTTTAAATATCGTGTGATTGAATATATATGACTTGTTAATGTATTTTAAATATCTAATTACTGTTTGCAGGAGAGAAATCATACAAACTAGAAGAATTCTTACCAATCTATGAAGTTATATCTGGTTTGAAAGATACAGGTACCTTCGCAGACTTTAACGAAGCTTTCAAAACTTTCGATCGTGAAGGACAAGGATTTATCTCTTCAGCTGAAATGAGACAAGTTTTAGTATCTCTTGGTAAGTTTAATAAGTTCCGTTATAATTTATTTTTCCTGAGTGGTCTAAACCCTTGCATGTGATTCGTCGGTCGATGGTCACTGCTCTAAAAGAAAAGGAAGAGGCTCCATATTAAGCATCACTTTCGGGTGTAGCCCAAGTTTCTCCAAGGACAAATTTTGGAAATCAAAATGGTTCAACGTCTAAATAGGAATACATCATGCAGTTCTCGGCCGACTCTTCTGTAAATTCCAGCTGCCGATGTGAACAAGAGGCATCTGGTTTTCGTTCTTATCAGACTAAAGGCTTTTCGTCCCCAGACTCTCCGTCATGCGCCACTGGCATTGAACCAAGGGCTTGAAAATCCCTAGGAATGTTTTCGGTCTGTTTAATGACCGCCATGTTTATAGTTAATGACCGCCTGGTTAATAGTGAATGACCGCCTGGTTAATAGTTAATGACCGCCATGTTAATAGTGAATGACCTCCTGGTTAATAGTTAATAACCGCCATGTTAATAGTTAATGACGGCCATGTTAATAGTTAATGACCGCCTGGTTATTAGTTAATGACCGCCATGTTAATAGTTAATGACTGCCTGGTTATTAGTTAATGACCGCCATGTTAATAGTTAATGACTGCCATGTTAATAGTGGATGACTGCCTGGTTAATAGTTAATGACCGCCTGGTTATTAGTTAATGACCGCCATGTTAATAGTTAATGACCGCCATGTTAATAGTTAATGACCGCCTAGTTAATAGTTAATGACCCCCTGGTTAATAGTTAATGACCCCCTGGTTAATAGTGAATGACCCACTGGTTATTAGTTAATGGCCGCCTGTTAATAGTTAATGCCCCCCTGGTTAATAGTTAATGAATCAGCACCATACACATTGAGCCACCCAAACCGATAACGGTAACTACATCTATTGAGTCGATGTGTTTCTTGGCAACTCAAATAATAATAACTATTGACCATTTTCTTTTGATTGACAGGTGACAGAATGACAGATGAGGAAGTTGATGAAATTGTTAAATGTTGTGATGTTCGAGAAGATTTGGAAGGAAATATTAAATATGGACGTAAGTAGCTAATTACTATAACATTACGTGTTCTACTAAACCAGTGGTTCTCAACCTTTTTTGCCAACGGCACACCTTGGAACACATGAAAAAATAGCGGCCCACCTGGCTTAATATACATGTATATGTAAAATATTTGAATTTTTGTAAAATAAAAACATAGTAAGTCAGACGGCATACAATCGTAGACACAGACTAGTCATAGACACTAAATAAAGAAAAACACAGCTATGAACTTTCAGTAGACACCAGTGAATACTCAATTGGGATCACGTAGTGACATCATGCTCTTGTGGGTTTCGGTTTGATTTATCAAACTCGCAGAAAAAGTGAATCCCAGAATTGCAAAAGCAGATAGGTCTTAAGTGAAATAGGTGCTATGAGATATAAAAAAATAACGGTCGGGGGAGGGGTGAGGCAGTGGGTGTGGCTTCGATGTTGTCCCCCATCTGAACTTGAGCCTATATTATAATGCCAAAAAGAAAAATGATTTAAGATATGCCACAACGAAATAGATAACAAGCTTCCAGAGTGTGGCCGGGATTATCGATAACAGATCAAAGATAAACCGAACATACAGAAACTGTAATCAATTTCATGTTTTATATATTTCAGAATTTATTGAAAAAGTCTTGGCTGGACCTTACCCTGATCAAAAATAAAGTAAACGAACGACGCAAACTATCTCTCTATCATTCGGAACTCAAATAAAATAATCGATGCTGAAGAAAATCACTTCTAAAAATCTTTTACATCATGTAGTTAGTTGTAAGCTAGGTAATCAGGCGTCGCGTAGCAACCAGGACAATAAGAATTTGTAAAAAGTGAACATACTGAAAGTGCCATTTTGAAATCTGTAAATACGGTGCCATTTTGGATCTATCTTTGTGGTGTGTCATACCTTTTTTTACATGAAATATCAAATAAGTTGTTATTTATTTTTAAATTATTTTTTAATTTATGAATGGACTTATGTTGCCAGGGGGTGCACGTTTTAAAAACTTGCGTCATCATGACGTCAGATATCTGTTGACACATGTAAACTATTTTAGTGATTTTAAACCAGGACTTTTCAATCAATGGAATGCTACAGCACATTCATAATATGATTGGTCTAATCCCTTCTAAAATTTCAACAGTGTGAATAGTGCAATAAAAGTTCCCTCCGTGTACATCTATATTACATGTGTGTTCGTTATTTTCTTTACTAATATTCATCTGTACTTCGCCATCTTTAGCTTTCCCCTTGTCAATGGTGCAGGACGGGGGGGGGGGGCTGACAAGGACAGCTGTCTAGTAGTTCGGATGGTACGAAAACCCGAGGTGCCTGGTACACATTGGTGTTCACGTAAAAGATCCCTTGGCAGTTGGAATTCGATATAAGAGTAGACAAAATTTCCCTTATAGCTCACTGTATGGCGTAAGCCCGTTCTCATTAGGACAGTAGGACGTTAAACCCCATTTCATTTCGTCATCTTTATTTGGTCAAGCAGCAAACACACAACCCTGTTGTGCATCAGCCAGGCTTCACGGTGGAGGTGGAGGAGGAGGGGGGGGGGCGGGGGTTGCAGCCGGTGCGCATAAGATTCTGTGGGGCCCATAGAGGAAGGAAAAGTTACATTGAATTAAACTAAAAACTGTACTTGGTTTTAATTTGATAGGCCTGTAAGGCTGTAGGTAAATGCTATGACTACTTTCTAATACTATGTCACTAACCCTTATGACAGTATGACAAAATGGTTTACAGACCTTTTAAAAAGATTTTTGATTCCTCAGAGCATATATAGTGCAACTGAATCATCTAGATATGACTAGTGTTGGAAAGGAAGGGGGGGGGGCAGGAAGGGGGAGGGCAGGTCTTGCCCAGCACATTTGTTTCCTCCCAAGGGACCCGGTATCAGCTCATCAAAAGACGCATGATATATTACTCTAATACCGGAACTTAATTGGACCACATTCTTCACCCCAGATTTTTCTGCTGCTGATGTCTTTTTGCACCATCCGCGTTAAGGAAATCTATGATGTTATGTCGATTGGCCAACTCACAGTCATTGAGTTGCTGTGTGAGAGAGGGGAAATGGGGTTTTACGTCCACGGGACACAAACTAGGTCATTTCGAAACTAAAATATGGTTTAATTTTATTTCAATAATTCGCTTGCGCGTAGGGGTCTTTAGCAGTGGGAGGAAACCGGAGGACCCGGAGAAAACCCACGAGGTTGAACAGGCGACCCTACTCCTTGTCACGTACAACCGAGGAATCGAAACCACGCCAGTTGACTCAATGACAGACATTGTGATTCAGCTAACACGCTCTAACCATTCTCTCCCCCCCCCCCGAACGTAAAAGCATCCTTAACAGTTAAATATCCCTTAGCAGTTGGAATACCTCATAGCACACTGTATGGCGTATGTCCGTCTTCATTAGCCCTATCGGTGCGGAACAGTAGGACTTTAAACCTCATTTCATTTCATTTCGTAAGGACGCATGTACCCCTAATTTCTTCAAACAGTTTAAAATGAAGAACCTTCACCCCTCCTGTCTAAACCCTAACTTCGCCACTTGATAACTGTGTTGCAATTCGATATAAGAGTAGGCCATAGTGCCACTGCCCGGGGCAAAATTTCCATCATAGCACACTGTATGGCGTATGCCTGTCTTCATTTTCCCAGTCAGAGCAGAACAATAGGACGTTAAACCCCATTTCATTTCATTTCAGTTTGTTGTCGGTGTAACCCCAGCCTGAAAAATTCCGCTCGATTATCTCAATCCCCATCTCAAGGACATTAAGACGATCGTTCGTTACTGGAGTTTTCCATCAAGGGTGAGATTGTAGACAAGGCATTAAGACCGATTTACAGATAGGATTAAAATATGGGCAGCTCTGAAAATTTCGGGGATTGTATGAACAATAAGATTTGAAAACGATGTGATAAACAACACAATTCAGTTATGACCAATTAATCTAAAGAGACCAGATTTTCAATCACCATGTAATTTATTATCTACCGGGACCCTAGGTTCCCACTATCACGATTCGTGCTACGATTTAAATCGTGGTTTTAATCGTGGAGTAATCGTGGTGATCCTATCAGGTCTTATCATATATTGAGTTCAGACGTAGCAATCGTTTTGATCGTATCAAAACATATCCAAACGCGTCTGCACGTACCGGATCGTGGACCCAATAGGCACAATACTATCGTAACACATCACACGACAGCGGGAACCCAGCACGACCCCACAGGTATTCAAATATAATAAACACAGATTAAAATATTATTCGAGATCAAGTCAGCAGTAAGTAAGGACATTTCTAAAGTATTGTGAAATGTGACGTTCTAGCAGTAAATGGGTTTTTTTTACCAATTATCATAACACCTTTAACTGATCTCATTGTAACACCACCTCCAACACCAACAAAACACAAACTGGCTGAAATCGGAGGCTCTCTGGTACGTATAAGAATTTGAAATGGAAATTGTGAGTTCACGTGCACGTATTTTTTAGGGGGTTATTTTTCGTATAAATCATTTATTCACAGGACAAAACATATATACATTTGATATTAGCATTACTGTATAATTAAAATATTATATGTATACCAAATATCCAGGCAGAAGTACATATTACAATATTAAAAAAAGTAATTTTGGTTATTTATGGTAAGTAGTTATATATGTAAAAGAGTAAAAAGTAAATACCTGTATTTACATTCTTATAATGCAGCGGAATGATACAGGATAATTTCAATCGTAACCATTTCAAAAGTACACGCGTTAAACCTCTAGACTCCCCCAGTACCGGATCTGGGGGAGGGGGCGCAGAGTGGGACAAATGTCCCGGGCCCCCCACATTTAGGGGCCCCCACAATTCTGGATCATACTAATATTTTATCCCGGACGGAGCCAACCAGTACCTGGGCTGAGGGGGAGAGGATTGAGGCCCTGGGCAGTAAGGAATATTGGGGGCCCCGGGACTGGTAGGTACTAACAGATTTTCGGGGGCCCAGGAAATCGCTGCCTAAATTGTCTCAGATGCACTGAAATTAATCCTAATTTTAAAAAAAAATTCCTGGAGGAAAACACCCCAGGCGCTCAAGGGGGCGGAGTATATACTAGTACGATCCGCGGTCAGTACGAACAATTTGAACAAACAACAATGGGGCCCCCGAACAGTTGGTATGTCCCGCCGCCCCCCCCCCCCCCCACAAGGTTAATCCGGCACTGGACTATCCTGGGAAAACGCCAAGGTTGATAATATATAAAATGCGCACAATAACATTAATAAAACATACATTATGCAAGAGCTAAATCTGCCTGTTGCAGGTCTTTCTTTAGACCTGAAATGTTATCTAAATTATTAAACATACATTATGCAAGAGCTAAATCAGATTATTGCAAGTCTTTGTTTAGGCTTCTGATGTCATAAAAATTATAAATTAGATCTTTATTTACACAACAAGCACAAAATCAACTCTGTAGACCCACGGATGGCTTGGATTCGGCTTGGATTTAAACAGGATTTCGTTGATTGATTAAATTTTTAAATGGCGTCGTAAGCGGAGGTTAACCGTGACGTTGACGTCATACTCCCGGAAATAATTTTAGATCGAGGCTAAATGATAGATTGTACGAAGCGAGACCGCTGTTGAGCGAGGTAGCATGTCAGTCAATTTGATTGAAAGTTCGATATACATATATACGGCCTTGATATTATGTTTAGTTGTGATTAAAATGAGAGTTTGGATGTCGGTATTATAGGCTACGCTCTTTTGTCACTTGCGTTTACAGAAAAATTACAGAAATTGATAAACATTGCAGCTAACATCACCCCAGTTGAATTGCAGCTCCATTGGATCACTGTTCGGGAGTTACGCAGGCCTACCAGTTACAGTACAAGAGTACACGCAGGCTAACAATATGCCTCATTGATTTGGTCCATTCCTTTCAAACTTTCGCTTCTTATCTATATATTAAAAGTCTTATTTTTAATTTGTAGTAAAAATAAATGTGATACGAATTGAACTGCAACCCCGTCTCAAACCACAGCCATTGAAAACGTTACTTGATAATCGAGATTATGTAGGTGGAGTTAGGGCCTGTCAATCAAACAATCGGTGAAGAGAGAATTGACTCCCATTTCTAGTCAAAAATTACAATGGTGATAACTTTGTTCAGAATAAAGTAATTTGACTGAAATTTTTAATATATGCTTCTTTCATCATCTATTTTTGAACTGTTATAGCAAGAATGGCCAATTCTCTATTAAAATCTCCCATAATGTATCTTTATTAGACATTAATTAACTTATCAAGATCATAATCAACTCTCGATGGCATCGCTAGCCTGCGATATTTATTGGATTAGGTTCAGATTTGCTATTCGATTTCCATTCATAATGTAATCATGAAATGGATAATCGAGACTATTTGTTTTATCCTACCGACTTTAGTAATGATGATCCATGCTACGCCGAAAATTCAATCGCTAAAATCTCTGTTCATAGTGGATCAATCTGACTGAAATTTTCATCAAATTCCCTTTATAGTATCTAGTTTTAAAGTATTATAGTGAGAACTGCCAGCTCTTTATCTAATCTCCCATAATGTATCTTTAATGAACGTTTTTAAAAGTATCCAAACATTCCATTACAGACTTATTTGAAGGTCGTAATTCGGGATTTTTATTCATCATTCTAAATATAGTTCTATTTAATAATGGCGGAACACTACTCGTATTTTCAAATACGTCTTTTAAAACAGCCCCTAAAGCTAAAATGTCGGATTCCCACGAGGCTACATGTTCCTCTGGTTCCGGGGGTCGTAAAGTATCGTTGCTGAAGTCGTCATACGTGTCGTCTGACGCGTCGTAAGTTTTACTCAAGTCGGCGAACATTATCTTTGGACCCTGACTACCGTCACCACGTCTATATAAAATATTTTTAATGTGAATATTGTCGATGTATATTTTCTTCTTGTGAAATAATTGAACCATGGCGACGACCCGATGAGCTATTTCAACGCGATAACTAAAATTCCAATTTGAATGTCCAAAAGTGTCCAAAGCCACGTTCAAATGTATGTAGCCCGACACATGTTCTTGTACAAAACCCCTAATAACGTCTTCATCGACCTTTTTCTCTACATGAATGCCATAAACTTTTGGTGCGAAACCGTGGATTGAGGCAAAAGTGTTGCTCACGCATTCTGTATGTAAATCAAAATAAGAATCGTTTGAAAAGAAGACATGGATCGTCACAGGGATGTTTTTGTATAGTCCGCGGTATATACCTTTATCTTCATCCAAATTCACCCACAGTTTTCTCTCATGTAATGAGGGTATAGGAGTTATCTCCCTTGACACTAATAATGGCACTTTAATATCTTTGAAAATGTTGTAAACTCGTCCTGGTTTTATGCCGCCATTTAAGCCAATTTTCTTTTTTTGTAAATGTTGCAAGTTTTGCGAAATGTTTCCAATTCTTTCTACTAACTGATGGATCGAAGGCCGATTTTTAGGTAAAGGTGATAGACACCAATCGATCACCAACTGGAGGTCCCCATCTTCATTTTTTAACACCTGGTTCATTTCGTCAAATATATAACCCAGACCATAAATATCCATACTGGGGTTGGTTTCTTTCCATTTTCCATATTCCGGTGGATAAAATTGATAACCGGTATCTATGCGACCAATCATTCCTTTCCTAAATGTGGATAATCCAGTATCTATCATGCGAACTATGGGCTGGTCGCCTTTCCATTGTACCATGATGTTAGTAAGGTGAAGGTCATTATGGAGTACGAACCGTGTATGCATTGCCTGTATGGCTAAGGCTAATTGGTGCCATATTGACAATAATTGCTGTTTCGTCACGTCATCATGACGTGTGACCTCCAGCAACGTTTCTCCATTTTGAATGTACTCAATAACCAATGACATATTACCCATGTGTGTCCCGTGAGATACGTAACCTAAAAAGTTGGGAAAATAGTCGGACATGTACATCATAATTCTCGCCTCATCCTCGATGTCATGAAAATCCGGTTTCTTTGTGTATTCTTTAATTATAACCTTTGTCTTCGTGGCTTTTATTTCTCCTAAATAAATTATGCTATAATATCCTTGAGCTAATCTTTTCCACTTTCCGGGTTCGTCCAGGTACATGACGATGGAGGACTCCGGCAAGATGGCGGTTTGATATTCAGAGAGATCTTGTGGAATGTTTTTGTCTAAAAATCCATATCTTTCGAAAACACTCAACGGTGGCCTACTGCATGTTGCATTATTATACAAACCATATGTGACGTACGTGTATTTACTATCGACAAAAAATAAATCTGAAATGAAAAGAAATACAGATGTCAAAAATAATCAGATTGATTTCCAATAACAATGTTGGAATTATATTTTTTAATAAAATTTAGTAAAAAGTAATTTAAACTAAAATGTAACATTTATATATCTAGCTTAGGGACATGTTTTCCCAGATTGTGTTGAGTATAAAGATTGTCTTACCAGTATTTGTGTCTAATATAAAGATTATTTACTAGTATTAGTGTCTAGTATATAGATTATTTTACCAGTATTTGAGTCTAATATAAATATTATCTTACCAGTATTTATGTCTAATATAAAGATTATCTACTAGTATTTGTGTCTAATATAAAGATTGTCTTACCAGAATTTGTGTCTAGTATAAAGATTATCTACTAGTATTTGTGTCTAATATAAAGATTATCTTACCAGAATTTGTGTCTAGTATAAAGATTATCTACTAGTATTTGTGTCTAATATAAAGATTATCTTACCAGTATTTAAGTCTAGTATAAAGATTATCTACCAGTATTTATGTCTAGTATAAAGATTATCTTACCAGAATTTATGTCTAGTATAAAGATTATCTTACTAGTATTTGTAGCTAGTATAAAGATTATCTTACCAGTATTTGTAGCTAGTATAAAGATTATCTACTAGTATTTGTGTCTAATATAAAGATTGCCTTACCAGTATTTATGTCTAGTATAAAGATTATCTACTAGTATTTGTATCTAGTTTAAAGCTTATCTTACCAGTATTTGTGTCTAGTATAAAGATTGTCTTACCAGAATTTGTGTCTAGTATAAAGATTATCTACTAGTATGTATGTTTAGTATAAAGATTATCTACTAGTATTTGTGTCTAATATAAAGATTGTCTTACCAGTATTTTTGTCTAGTATAAAGATTATCTTACCAGTATTTGTGTCTAATATAAAGATTGTCCTACCAGTATTTGTGTCTAATATAAAGATTATCTTACCAGTAGTTGTGTCTAATATAAAGATTATCTTACCAGTAGTTGTGTCTAATATAAAGATTATCTTACCAGTAGTTGTGTCTAGTATAAAGCATACAGTGACCAGAAATTGAATAGGCGTGATTAACTTCTTCATAATTATCTTCCCTTCTGCAGATTTCTTGGTATTGGTGTTCAGTCTTCGTTTAAAAAATATCTATAAGAAAAGTAAGGTTAGACAGTTTACTCAGTCAATTATATTTTATGACTGCAAAGGGATCATTAACTTGCCCTAAAAATTAAACATGAGCCTAGGTGGGTCCAATTGAGAATCGCGCAATAATTTCTCTTGTGCCTGATAAACAATTAAGCTTTATTAAAGGGAAGAAGAGCAATAACAGAGAGAGAGAGAAATAAGGTTTAACGTCCACTCGACACAAACTAGGTCATTTCGGGACTAACACATGGTTCAATATTATTTCAATAATTCGCTTGCGCGTAGGCCTCTTTAGCAGTGGGAGGAAACCGAAGGACCCGGAGAAAACCCACGAGGTTGGACAGGCGACCCTACTCCTTGTCACGTACAACCGTGGAATCGAAACCCAACCAGTTGACTCAATGGCAGATACAGCGCGCACGTGCTAACCATTCGGTCATCCAACCCACCGAGGATACTCAGATTGAATTCTGTCAATCCCAAAAATATTGACAGTCGAGTGAAAAGGGGATAGCCGGCTAAAATACACGCGCCGAGTGAAAGGGAAATATTTCAACCAACCATAACAGCTGAAACATATCCCAGTGTTCAAATACATCACGATTCTACTAACACCACATCAGTAGCCGGGACTGGGTGCTAAATGATAAGGCCCGCTCAATCTTTCGTCATAGGTAAACAGGGCCAGCGCTAATCCCAACCATAACCCTAACGCTAGACCAAGCCCCAATGCTTACCATAACCCTAACCTACAATCCTGCCAACATTCACGTGCCCTAGCCTTATTTACATGTCAACGACCTTGACAAAAATTGAGCTGGCCTTAACAAATAGATTTAGTCGTCGGGACTGGCAGAACGGTGACATAATTGAGTTCAGTGTTACTCGATCGTAATTATGTCAATTTGAATCCAGCATTTCTATGGAGTCCCTTTGACCAACTAAACATTTACATAGAAGCCAAGTAATGGAAGAAGTATAAAATTAAAATAGAACTGTTACATAAATAAATAAAAAGCGATATATTCACTTTCTTTAGAACAAATAATTTGTTAACAGAAACAAGAACAAACATACGTGACGTCGTCTTCACAGATCTGGGGATGTTATGGAACCCCCACACGTCTTAGTTGTCGTTTAAACAGTTATAGGCTCCCATAAGAATTGACTATATATAATATGAATGTAATAGGCTTGAGTGTATATTTTATAATACCGCTGTTCAATGTAAGATCGTTTTAAGTAGACCTAGCTGATATTGACCATTTATTGTATACTAATATAACAATATAGGATATAATAACTATTGAGCGGACTTCACGACGATAGAGAGAGAGAGAGAGTTTAACGTCTACTCGACACAAACTAGGTCATTTCGGGACTAACATATGGTTTAATTTTATTTCAATAATTCGCTTGCGCGGAGTGGTCTTTAGCAGGGGGAGAAACTTCAAGAATTTACTTTGGCCCCTATATGTATGGTAAATGGACAGTAAGAGAGGACAAATACATTCTGAAAAATGGACCCTCTCTCAATCAACTTTGGTGACAAACATGGCTTCTAGCTTGGGGTATCTCCCCGTGAATACAAAGCTTTCAAAGGGATTTAAAGCATATTTTTGACAGATTAATTAGTTTGAATATGTTTTTAGTCCAAATATATCATCAAATCATAGTTTGTTTGTACGGGGGAAAGTATCTTTAAGATAAAGCTTAATTTTAAATCGTAACAGCTACTAACAAATCCATTGTTATAAAATCATTTTAACGATTTGCTGTTGTATAGAATCTGTTGCCACGTTCTTGGCGTTATCGATCGGATCAAAGTCACCGTGTTGACATACTCACAAATTCTTAGGTATATTGTCCATACTCTGTCCGCCTTGCCCTATAAACACTCTATACGGGTCAGATATACCCTCCCTCTACGTTCAAAATATAGATCTGTATTTTAATTAGACTGGATATACCCTCCCTTTACGTTCAAAATCATAGGTCTTATATTTCTCTCGTTGCGAGAGAGAGAGTTTAACGTCCACTCGACACAAACTAGGTAATTTCGGGACTAACATATGGTTAAATTTTATTTCAATAATTCGCTTGCGCGTAGGGGTCTTTAGCAGTGAGAGGAAATCGGAGAAAACCCACGAGGTTGGAAGGCGACCCTACTCCTTGTCACGTACAACCGGGAAATCGAAACCACGCCAGTTTACCCAATAACAGACCTTATGATTTAGCGCAGGCACTAACCATTCGGTCATCCAACTCCCTTCCTCAGTACGGATAAACGAAGCGGACATTGATCGAACATGTTAAAGAACGGACAGTCTGGCAAGGAATGGCGGCTAGTCGTTTGGATAGAATTCATGAAGAGTAGGCGAATGTTTCACCCCATTATCGCTAAATCTATTTGTTAAGGCCAACTCAATTTTCGTCAAGGTCGCTGAGATGTAAATAAGGTTAGGGCACGTGATTGTTGGCGAGATTGTAGGTTAGGGTTAGGATAATATTGATGGGGAGATTTGTGCAAAACAAGACATATAATAATATTATGGTCTTGACTAATTATTGTTACAGATTCATAGACAAACACGTGAAACAACAGAAATCTGTGATATTATGATACATGAATTGAACTATAGGTTAATAAACACATTTGTCATATGCCATCTTCATGGTCAGGAATGGAATATGTCTGTTGACCAAATTAGGTAATAATTCCTGTTGTCATGCAACGTATGAGGCATGTCAGTCCATTCCATATTTGGCTAATTCGTGACGCAATTGGGCATGAGTGACCAATCACATAATTGATTTCCGTTGATTTCAGAAGTCAAGACACATTTAACGTTAGATTTACGCGGAGACATTTCAGACACTATGTGGATTCTTAGAGAAGAGACACGCATTAGGAGAGATATGATGGTGGGAGAGTCCGTTGGGGTTCAAGACACACCATCTAGATCCAGAATGATTCGTTAAGTCATGGGGGAGCCATAAGATGTCTTCTTGTTGGTGGGGTTGAGAGAGTGGAGAATGACTTTGTTTTAATCTATGCTTGTAACCTATGTATCCAGTGCTTGACATAAAATGTAGAAACGAATGTGATATTGTAACCATAAACTAAATAAGGGGAGAATAAATCCACAATGTTTAAAGTGGAGTCCGAACCAGTAGATAATTACAAATATAACCAGAGATAATACTAGACGATCACAATGCTAATAAAATATGTAGCAGAGAAGAGAGTATGCGTCACAATTTGGATTCGGGGAGTTTTTGGCATGTTGGCTTTCCATTACACATCGTTCAAAAGGTGGGTAGGACAAAGGTTAGTCCAAAGGGCAACGAGGAAAGTCAGAGAGTTAACGTGTTTGTTTTTTATCTACAAGCATTAAAAATGCAGGTATCTAAAGAAAACAAATATTGAGTAAACATTTGTCAATTACAAGAGCAAATGCCCCTTTAGTGATGTTTTTGTTGAGTGGATCAGTAGATCAATGTCGCCCCACTCCACATTTATGAACTGTGTCTATTTATGAACGACTGCATCCAAACCTTAAAGGCCAATATTGGTGTCAGTCATTATCACATAATATTGTGACCGAGAGGTCGGTCAGATATTACAAGAGTCTGGAAAGGTTCTTCAAATCTTTAATACTGGAAACTTATAATAATAATTATCTACACACACTTACAGGCCCATGGTTAACGGACTAGTACCTTATGCTACTAGTCGGATAGACCTAAAAGACTAACGTATCAAGTACAATCACATATTTATATGGAATTACTTCTAATCACTTGACTAGCTCAAGTGCTGACATAAATAAGCATTGATGTAATAATTGTACAATATAAGAAATAAAACAATTGTAAATAAAATAATTAATAGATTAATCATACGATTGGCATGTTCACCAGACAGGCCATATTGTCAGTTACTTTCTATCTATAACTGTTTTATAAACAATAAGGGATTAAAATAAATTAACATGTCATTAGAATTACGTAACATTTCACCGTTGGCTATAGCCACCTTTCAATAGCACACACACACCCATACTCACACACACCCACCCACTCACCCCCCCCCCCCCCACACACACACACACACACTCTCACTGTTTTGAAGAAATAGAATAATTATTGTCAATTTGATGACTTTCCTTTTTTAAAATTAAAGTATTATCTGAAATATTCAGGATTTAAATTCTAACATAGACCTACTATAACCAGCACGGTTATAACATGTTTTTTGAAATCTTTATAACGCATCTATTGTAGCAATGATCCCTGTGTTAAAATTATATTTGGAATGTGTTTAACCAGTTCTATCACATATGTGATAATGACTGACATCAATATTGTCCTTTAAACGTATATAGCAAATATTTAAACTAACCTTTAGTGTAATAAACCCCTAAAAACCTAAACCCCTAAAACCTAAACGAGCCATTATGGGACATAACGAAACTGACCTCGACCAAATATTGCATTCAGCATAGTTTAATAATATATTTGATTTCGCGATACTATATGTAAATTGTTTCTTTGATAAAATTGCCAGCTTTCTTCGATTTTTCTCAAACCATTCACAATATTACAAAGCTCAATTGATCAATACATAAATAAAAGCCACATATTGGAAACAGAGATCAACGTCATTATTTTTCCTAGTCTATTTTGCACATATTATTATACATTTTCCCAAACAAATTCAACTGGAAACACCGCTTAGTTAAAGATACATTATGTAAGATTTAGATAAAGAGCTAGCCATTCTTGCTGTAATAGTTTGAAAATAGATAATGTAAAATGAATAATTTGAAAACGTCATTCAAATTACTCTATTGCGAGCGAAGATATTAGCCTTTGAGGGTTTGACAAGACGTGTGCAATAATTTCATCCACCGTAAAAGTTGTTCAAAGCTAAGTTTCGCTCCTCCATTTTTAGCTTAAATCAGAAATATGGCTGAACTGTTCTAACCTATTTAATATCGGAGAAATCAGATGCCATCGAGAGTTGATTATGGCCTGGATAAGTTAATTAATGTCTAATTAATAATTTAGAAAGCATTTCAGGCCTAAAGAAAGACCTGCAATAGGCAAATTTACCTCTTTTATAATGTATGTTTAACAATCTGATTAAAATACAGATCTATATTTCGTTTCGTTTGTCTATACTTTCGATGACCTACCCTAGATGAAGATCTGACCGGTTGTAGTGGGAGGTCATGCGAGAGACTTTTGACCCTATGACGTCAGACATTAATTAATCAATCAGTGTTGACGTTTCTAGTGGTTTACCCACCGTTCCGTGCACCGCACAACAAGAATTTGCCGTAACAGACCGTTTCATTGGCTAATCCCTCACATCACCCAGAACACGTCAATGATATCAACTCTTCCAAATCCTAGTGTAGTAAAGACAAGTAAAACAATATTTTGAACTATAACAAACGAAACGTAATAGGATCTGTGTTTTAATCAGTTTGGTTAGTTCAAGATTTGCACATAGACTTATGAATTCGTCACATTGTCCCGACATGGGCATTTAGATTCTTACTTGATATCGGGGAAAACATTATATTTTAGGTGCCATATTAAAAAAACAAGGTCAAAGTTCATCGTGACAAAATGATTCCATGATGTCACCACCACACATTGTTAAATACAACTGCTGTACCGTTGGCCGTAGTTCCGCATTCACATGTAGGCACGTATTTATGGTTTCCATGACACCTGTTAAATTTGAATTTTGAAATAACAATTGAAGCACAACTCCCAGGCTATACACGTCAGAAGCGAATGTTGTGGGATTGTCTTTCTTAGTTTCAGGCGCTGAATAAATAGAATTTTCTGTATAAAGACCACTTGAATCACTGCAAGTTTCAAAGCTTGTCAGTAATATAACCGGCTCAGTGCCGTTTTCACTGTATAAAATAGTGGATGATTTAATATTATTTATCAGAATGTGCTCGTCGTGAAACATGCGGATAGATTTTATAAGTTTACATGCTATATTTAAACGATATTTATCCACCCACTTGGAGCGTTCTGTTCTGAAAGCTTCTATTAACGTCATACTATCTCTGACGTATTCCTGCACAAATCCTGCAGAGGTCATGTTAGTCCCATGAAAAGTAATGCCGTAAAAGTGAGGAGCAATGCCAATCGAACTTGCAAACTTTGTTAAAGCAATTTCATTTCGAACATTCTGGTACTCCCGACCATGATATAGACGAATTATCACTTCTTTGTGTTTATAGGTACCGACATAAGAACAATAATCCGCGTACATAGTCAGCCATTGCTCGTCATCTATATCCGGTAGGGGGGATAACTCATCTATCATAATCATGGGTAGTGGCGCTGTAACATATTGTTGGTATTTTTCAGATGATAATAGTTCACCATGCATTAATTTTTTATATCCTATGCCTGACTCGTTGCTGTATTTCTTTTTTAATTGTTCTAGCCTGTATAATATCTGATCAGTAGTGGGTCGATTTTCAGGAATTCGTTGATAACAGTATTCAGCTAGACTCTTAAGGTCGTCATTTTTCAGGCCTTTGTTAATCTCACTGATAGAGAAACCCATGGCGTAGATATCCATTGAAGGGTTGCTCTCTTCATTAATAGCATCGGGTGGGAAAATGGGATACTTGTGTAGTTTTTTCGGAGAAATTCCTTGAAATTGTCCATATCGAAAAGTAGCATATCCGGTATCAATTAAGCGAACAACTGGGTTTGTTCCATTCCACATAATTAGAACATTGTCTGTGTGCAAGTCGTTGTGTAGAATAAATTTTGAGTGCATTAATTTTAAGGCTCGTGTCATCTGCTCGACGATCAGAAGCCATTGATAAATTGTTATTGCGTCGTTATCAGTCGTCGCATATATCGTCTCACTATTAGGTAAGTATTCCATCACCATAGAGATATTGTTGACATGACTTCCGCATGGTATATAACCGTAAAACTTGGGAAATACACCCGTGTCTTCCAGATACATGAGAATTCTCGCTTCTCTGTCGATAGCGTCTAACTGGGTCTCCTCGGTAAATTGCTTTATAACTGCGGGTTTCCCCGATCCTTTCATTTCTCCAAGGTAAACATTACCAAAAGTTCCATTGCCCAAATACATGAAGTTGCCATTGTCATCAATGTACCTGATAACGGATGATTCGTGTAATATCAGAGGATTGAAGTGGTCTAATGAGCTGGGTATGCCATCATCTTTGTAGCCATATTTTTCAAAGATGTTAAGATTATAATCTCCGGGCAGACATGCGCGGTCAAGTCTGTCGCTGGCATGTTTATAGAAATTTATATACGGACATACTTCATTTGGTTCGACGAAAACGTATGTTGTGCCTATAATTAAAAGAGTTAAAATGTTAATGTATAATTAGCCAACTTTAATTTCGACGGGTTGCGTCTGGATGATCTGGTATAGGGTGACCCATGCACTCTACAGAAATACAGTCCACCGCTGATAGTTCGAGACTACCACTGAAGCGTGCACATTCGCCGTGTCGAGACCAACTTTTTGACAGTATGATACTATAAATAGCCATGGCACGTGCAATTCTCTACAAATCTATCAACTATTACAGCCGTAAAAATTTTATTGTTGACCATTTTGAATAGCAGTAAAATTAAGCTTCTTGGTTATTACAGCAGATTTAGGAATTACGTTCGTTTCATTTTTTAAATCGCTTTATCATTAACTGTACCGTGAAGAGCGGCATCTTTTGGTTTTGTACAAATAATATCTCTGAAACACTCGGGTTAGACAGGAACATGGTACTAGCAGTAGTTTCATTTTACTTTTACAAGCTTCTTAAAACAATTGTTGAGTTAGCTAACGTGCTTATTTCTAAATTCAATTTCTTGTTCTAGCTTTCTGTTATGTTTCGTAAAAAAAGTAGTCTTGATTATCCCGACCTGTCAATCAGACGTAGAATGGTTGATAGACTGGTTAAGCGAGACTAATTTCAAAACATGTTATGGACGACACTTGGAACCAGTTTTCAGTCATTTATAGATGATTAATCGTCAAAGCTTATTAAGTACAACATGATCGTTTATTTAGTGACTATAATTGTGTGAAACTGATTTGAGGCTTGGCATATATATAAATATTGTGGCGTAATTGTCGAGATATATGGAGATATTTATTTATGGTGGGTCACCCTACCACTGGTTAAGCCATGGGCCAATCTGTTTCCCAGAGATCTTTTAATATCTCTGTTACAGATGACTGTTTCGACACGTGACGTCACATCACGTGGCGTCAATCACTGGCTCAATAGCGCGTGCATTGTTTACATAAGACGTTACTGATTCGGGCTAAATGGTGAATTTTACTTATTTTAATACCCGTTTACACTAAATAGGAAATGATTTTTACCTACAAACAATTCAAACGTCTTTATTTATTTTTCTAATAAATGAAAAAAATGTTTTAGAATTTAATTTGACGGAAGAAAAAAGTTAATATTTGGGACTCATTAAGTCGCATCGATGTCATCCTTATCAGTGATTGTAACGGCCTAGCAAAAATTCACCACTGATCAGTGTGGCCATGGGCAACAAGCTAAACAAAGTGGGAGATACAGCCACAGTTTCGAACACTGATACACTATATAAACTACTACTAATATGAGAGAGAGAGAGAGAGAGAGAGAGAGAGAGAGTTTAACGTACACTCCACTTCGGGACTAACATATGGTTGAATTTTATTTCAATAATTCGCTTTATGAGGATAGGAAAGGGAAATCGCTGTCCTCATCCAATTACGCACAAAGCAATGATGAAAAATATTAGCTATGCGAACTTTCCAATTATTGATATGCATACCTTCTGCTGAGGATAAAACTCCAACTATAAGCAGAAATCCTATCATTGTCACACACCTGGAAGAAGAAATATTATTCAAAACTTTAGGATATATTACATATACATTACAATGTACATATCTTGTCAAAATTGGGGGGTTGGATGGCTGAATGGTTAGCGTGCGCGCGCTGTATCATAAAGTCTGTCATTGAGTCGACTGGCGTGGTTTCGAATCCCCGGTTGTACGTGACAAGGAGTAGGGTCGCCTGTCCAACCTCGTGGGTTTTCTCCGGGTCCTCCGGTTTCCTCCCACTGCTAAAGACCCCTATGCGCAAGCGAATTATTGAAATAAAATTAAACCATATGTTAGTCCCGAAATGACCTAGTTTGTGTCGAGTGGACGTTAAACCCCATTTCTCTCTCTCTCTTGTCAAAATAATAGGAGCCACGGTGGCTAAGTGGGTAAGACGTTGGCTCGCTAGCCTGGAGGTCACGTGTTCGATCCCTGCATTGGCCGAGAAAGTTCATTGGGATTTTCTGACGTGATTTCCCCTTGTCAGTGGTACAGGACGGAGGGTCCGACAAGGACAGCTGTCTAGTCGTTCGGATGGGACGTAAAATCGAGGTCTCGTGTACATATTGACGTGCAGGTAAAAGATCACTTGGCAGTTGGAATTCGATAGCAGAACAGTAGGACGTTAATCCCATTTCATTTCGTCAAAATAATAGACATTTACGTCATGATTTGAAATGCATATTATTGTAAATGATTGTGGGAAGACTGTCATAAAAGGGCAATAAAATATAGTTTTAACTAAAAACCATATCCATATCTCTCTGATTATTTATCAATAGTTATAAACAAATATATTAAATACCTTTTGTATATGGTATTCCTCCTACAGGTTATTGCCTTTGTTCTTCCTCGACATTCCATAATTAATAAGAACAACTCGATCACCTCTATTTTAAAAATATATCGATTTATCCCTTTTTTTCATCTTTACTAACACCTTGTATCCCCACCCCTGTTTTATACCGTAACCTGTATATATAAAACTCTATTAAGGAAAAATTGCACGTTTCCACTGTCGTGATTAGTTAATCAATAAGTACACAATGTTCAATACAAGAAAATGACTACATCTGTTCAAACGGGAATATAATACAAAATAACTTAAGTAATTGAATCCATATATCAGCTGTGCAATATTATACTGTTGACTAAACTTTGATTTGATTCCCAGCGATTAATAAGACTAATTGAATTATATACGTGGCAAAATTGAAATGTGATAAATATCTACTTTGTACGTGGCTTGAAAAATTGTGTGTAAGAATTGTCAAGGGCTATAAGAACATTGAAGATCAGTACTTTTCAAAATCTATTATAATTTCAGAATTATAAATAGATTTATATATTCCAGAATCCAGAAGTATTTTTAAATATTGTTGTGAAATATTTAGGTGACCTGTATGTGTTATGAAACGTTGTTATTAAATAACAGAGAAGTAGTTATATCCATATATACCATGTGTTATTAAATAATAGAGAAGTAGTTATATCCATATATACCTGGTGTTATTAAATAATAGAGAAGTAGTTATATCCATATATACCATGTGTTATTAAATAATAGAGAAGTAGTTATATCCATATATACCATGTGTTATTAAATAATAGAGAAGTAGTTATATCCATATATACCATGTGTTATGAAATAATAGAGAAGTAGTTATATCCATATATACCATGTGTTATGAAATAATAGAGAAGTAGTTATATCCATATATACCATGTGTTATGAAATAATAGAGAAGTAGTTATATCCATATATACCATGTGTTATGAAATAATAGAGAAGTACGTAGTTATATCCTTATATACCATGTGTTATGAAATAATAGAGAAGTAGTTATATCCATATATACCTGGTGTTGTGTTTTGTTTTGAATAGTTAACCGTGCTTATAGATGTCATTTAAAGAATTGATATTTAGGTCATGTTCGTTTTAAATACCTGCCCCCTGTTAGAAAACAAGGAATCCTCCCCCTTTTGTTTACCAAAGTGGCTATTATTCCCGTAAAGATAAAAAGTTTGGGCTATTACTACGGTAGTGTGTTTTCTAGATGACGTTTTTATAGTCTGGACGTACACACTAGACGAATTTTGGACGTTTTTCAACATTCTGAACAATCATCATCCATCTGTCAAATTAACCGCAAATGTAAGTCATAACAGCATAGATTTTCTTAACACCAAAATCACAGGCCAACTGGAAACTAATGTATTTTCAAAGAAACCGATACACATCAATTACGGTTCAAGAGCTCCTTTCACCCCAAACATACCTTCTCTGGCATCATAAAATCTCAGATTCTCCGTTTTCATAGGATATGCATTAGAAGACCGACATTGAGTCAGCATTTACGCTGGTATTTAGCAAACTCAGAGAAAGGGGATACTCCAAACGCTATCTCCGACGTTTAAAAAAACAACTTGCCGCCAAAGGAACAAATAATATGCAATCAACAGTTAAAACCAAAACTTGTGACCACCCAAGATGTCAAACATGCAAAATCATAAACATATCCGACCATTTCCATAACAAAACATCTGGCACACAATTAGACCAACTTTCATGCAGTAGTTCAAACATAATTTATCTAATTTCATGTAGACAATGTGACAAACAATACGTAGGGGAGACTCAGAATGCACTTAGGGAAAGAATTAACGATCACCGGTCAGACAGTCACCAAAAATGACAAACCTGTCTCAATTCATTTCAACCAACAAAATCATGACATTTCTGATCTCATTGCCACGCCAATAGAAAAGACCAAGAGCGACTTTGAAACTACAGAAGAAATTAAAACGTTTAGGCTAACAAGAGAAAAATTCTGGATTAACAAATTGAAAACAACAGCCCCCCCCCCCCACCTCTAGGTTTGAATATTCACACGGCTAGCGCAATAGCCCCTTTTGTAGTTCCATTTAGCGCAACAGCAGCAAGTGCATCCAAAATCATCAGAAAACACTATACTGATCTCCAAGAAAATCACCAGAAAATCTTCACACAGAAACTTATAATTGCATATTCTAAAAATAAAAATCTGAACGACATCCTAGTGCACAGTAAATTAGATTAAATAAGACCAGTCTCCACCCTAACCGTTAGTAAATAAAATCAACTAGATATAGGAATCCCTAGTCCTAACCCGGTTATGGGAACAAACACATTTTTAGAAAATCCAATCCGTAGTAAGAAACACACTAATGTGGCTCTCCCCCGAGAGCCTCAAATTTATTCTTTTTTCTTCAGAAACAAAAATACCAGAATACCAGAAGCACCATCCAAGGAAGACCATCAGCGACACCAACACCAAAAAACATGTGAAATCATCTTGTATATAAATCTAATGTATTGTATGTATTTTTAATAAAACTAGGAAATATCACGAACTAATTTTTCATCGTCCTAAGTCAGTGCTTATGTGGAGACTTAACCTCTCCCCCAAATTCTTAAACCTAACCCTAAAAATAGCCCAAAGATTTTTGTCTTCGGCACTGTTGTAAAAAAAGCCAAAAAGTTTTCGTCTATGGCACTCACGTACGACCAATGACGTCTCTAATATAGATGTCATTGCGTACAACTGTCGAATATGTTCCCGATGTGCAGGCGCAACGGGAAGTGCTGTTTTTACTTTCTGATGTTCAGAGAGAGAGAGAGGGAGAGAGAGAGAGAGAGAGAGAGAGAGCTCTGTTATTTTGTAGAATAAGGCATAATTTAAAGCCCGAGTGATCTACTCTTCAGGTATATATAATTATATAATTAAGGAAGAGTCCATTTCACGGTTGTCATTGTAATTTCCCTATTTTGTATGTTCATTTATGTGCTGACTGAGAAATCCCGGGTCATTATCCCGTGTGTCCATCTTTATAGTAAGACCCCCTATCTTTGCTATAATATCAAAACATGCTGAAATGTAGCTGTGACGCTATTTCTGTCATATTTCAAGTGCCATAGTGGTCTCATCTATTAAGTTTGGTAGAATTGTCAAACAATGCAGAATTGCTCACGGTCTAAGGGAGATAACTACATTCTTTCTGCTGTAACTGTCTAAATTGGATTTTTGTTATTGTATTTTGTGTCTTTACAGAATTTTGTTGCAGTTTCCTATCTTTTCATTAGAAGCATTTCATGTCAAAGGGAGAAGACCCATGCAATCTAAATCATAAGGATGCAGACCACCAATAATTTCCGCATTGACTCCAAGTCAAACCCCACACTGATCAGCAGTGAATTTTCGCTAGGCCGCTACAATCACTGATAAGGATGACATCGATGAGACTTAATGAGTCCCAAATATTAACTTTTTTCTTCCGTCAAATTAAATTCTAAAACATTTTTTTTCACTCAATAGAAAAATAAATAAAGACGTTTGAATTATTTTTAGGTAAAAATCATTTCCTATTTAGTGTAAATGGGTATTAAAATAAGTAAAATTCACCATTTAGCCCGAATCAGTAACGTTTTATGTAAACAATGCACGCGCTATTGAGCCAATGATTGACGCCGCGTGATGTGACGTCACGTGTCGAAACAGTCATCTGTTACAGAGATATTAGAAGATCTCTGTGAAACAGATTGGTCAAACCCGTTTCCCAAATTTTCGATGAGCTGAATGCTTTTCACTACAGAAAGGGAAACAAATGGTCATGTCTTTACACCAACATTCTGCTTGAGGTCGACCACTGAATTTTTGAGATCCACAAACTTGAAGTAGCAAAAACATGTAACTATTCGCCGTACCTATTACCGTAACCAACTTGTTAACTCTGTTATCCTTTCGCCTCTAAATCATGAATACTTACCAACACCTGGCAGCGTATGTTAATTCAACCCCTCTTCTTCCATTCTAGACCAAACAAATTAACAAAAATGGTCCTGGTTTAACGTCCTACTTTTGTTCACCGACTGGGCTTATGAAACCGGGCTTACGCCGTACACCACCTCAAAGACAATTTGGAAATGACGGAATCCCTAACGACCAATCAATCGTCGCCCTACACGAGAAAACAACTTCAAAGTTTCCAATCGTTTTGTTACCGGAATCCTACTGTATGCCGACCTGAATTCCAACCATCCAATGGACTGTTGCAGCTGCATTCACAAAATTAATAATAATCTATGCCAGAAAAATGTCGCACAAAGTAGAGTGGCTGCAGACAAAATATTTTAATCCACAGTCAATTCAGTACAAATTCGTGATATTCAATTAAAAGAAAAGTAAAATTGGCGTTTTAATAGATTTCGGGCACTTTATTTTACCAACTAGATAAAATAATAATTTTTGTTTTCACGTTAACCGTTTGCCCGAAAAGTCAGATTGCACGAAAGTTGAGTGTGTGTGTGTGTGTGGGGGGGGGGGGGTGTTGCATGTCTGGTTAGGGGGTTTTCGTGACCGATCACGATCTTACGGGTCTTGGTTTTAGCATGGGCCGTATATAGATGGACAGGCAACAGAAAACGCCATAGTCTTACTATCTTCAATAGAAGGCTTGATCTCGCTTTAACTACGTACATCTTATCAAGGCCTTTGCGTAATACCCTACATATTTCCGCACTAATTTCGATTAGGTATAACCCCAACTTGTGAGCCTATCAGATTCCACGATCGTCGCGAATACCAAGTCTCGCGCTTTCAAGCTAAAATGTCTAGATGTGATAATCGAGTTGCAAGTTCAGGGTTCATTCAATGTCAAGATTTCCGTGGAGGTCGCGATGTCACAACCTCTGATTGGACACTACTGTTCACGTGTCTGTAGATAACATAGCTATAAGTTCGGGAATTATGAAGTAAACAAGCAACGGCCAGATGTTGTCAAACTCGTAGTCGTTGCTTCAGGAACATATAGTCTTACTGGCCTTAGTTTTAGCATGGACCGTATATAGATGGACAGGCAACGAGTCCCCTTTGTTTGATTCTCTGCCGCTCGCGCGAGTCACGACGAGATCTCAATGTCAAAGGTAAACCAAGCGACATGATTTTTGACATTGCGGGGTTTAATATAGATTGATTTCTCGACCTCCTAAGAATTTACGGTATTCTTACGGTTACACGGTAATTTGTCAACCCAATAAGCATTTCTTCCGGTAGTGACGAATTTCTCCAGTTTAGAACAACACTGAAATTTCCAAATACAGCAGTTGAAAATTGAAAATGATAGATTTCAATATCTTCTTAGTTTTTGTAACCATTTTGGTTTTGCTTAATAATCCAAATTTCCGTATGTATGAAGGATTTTAAAATTATGAAAATAAAGTTCAGGTATAATAATGTCCGGAATGAGGATTAATTGTGCAGAAGTAAAAATTAAAACAGTGTTTTAGTAGCAAGATTAATAAAAATATTATGAATAGATTTCTGTTTCTTTGCTTTTAAACTTAATACTGGTAATTGCGCGAGGGGGTGTAATTTTATTTTATTCACAGAATTCTGAATGCTTCGTGGTCGTTGTCTGCCCATCTATATACGGTCCATGGTTTTGGTCTATGATCAGCGGCCATGTCAAGGAATGTACCATGATTGGTGTGTTTATTGGTATCTAAAGCCTTCATTTAGACAGTGCCGGATTAACCTTGTGGGGGGCCGGGACATACCAACTGAACGGGGGCTCCATTGTTGTTTGTTCAAATTGTTCGTACTGACCGCGGATCGTACTGGTATGTACCCCGCCCACATGAGTGCCTGGGGTGTTTTCCTCCAGGAATTGTTTTTTAAAATTAGGATTAATTTCAGTGCATCTGAGACAATTTAGGCAGCGATTTCCTGGGCCCCCGAAAATCTGTTGGTATCTACCAGTCCCGGGGCCCCCAATATCCCTTACTGCCCAGGGCTCCATCGTCGCCCCCTCAGGCTAGGTACTGGTTGGCTCCGTCCTGGATAAAATATTAGTATGACCCAGAATTGTGGGGGGGGGGGGCTAAATGTGGGGGGCCCGGGAAATTTGTCCCACTTTGCCCCCCCCCCCCTAGATCCGGTCCTGCATTTAGACCAAGAACTTAAACCAGCAAGCTACTGGTATTTTTTATAAAGTATGATAACAAATTTATTAATCAGCATTGACCGGGACAGTTATATTCCAACAATTTAGCACACATTGTCTTTTTTAATCTCCGAGCAGATGGCCGCAGCTCGTGTTTAAGGTGTACGCACATATTTACTGCTTCTATGGCTCGGGTTGCATTTGAATTTTGGAATAATTTTTTTAACACAACCCCAAGACTATACACATCCGAAGGGAAAGACGTGGGGATATCTTCGTCCTCGGTAATCTCCGGAGCTGTGTAAACGGAAGTTTTATTAAAGTAAATCCCGTTTGAATCACTACTCTGCTGGAAGTTCAGGATGGATATCAAAGGTCCGGTGCCATTATCACGGTATAAGATGTTAGAAGATTTAATATTGTTTAATAAAATATGCTCATCATGCAACAAACTAACCGCGTTTATAAGCTGACATGCTATACGTAAACGATATTCATCCGTCCAATTAAGGCTTCTTTTTTCCCTGAAAGCTTCCGACAACGTCGTGCCATTTTTAACAAACTCTTGAACAAATCCCACGTGGCTCATCTTTTCGCCGTGGATTATCAATCCATAAAAATGTGGAGTAATTCCTAGAGAATCAGCAAACATGGTAACAGCAGCTTGGTGCCGAATGGATGCAAAGTCTGAATAAGCGAACAGACGTATAATGACAGAATTGTTTCGATATTTTCCAACATAAGAGGCGTAGCTGTCTTCTAATCTCAACCACCGATTGCGATCCTGGGTCCGGGGCATTGGACTAACTTCTGATAATATTAAGATCGGGAGAGGCGCCGTTTCGTAATTTTGATATCGTTCTGGAGGTGTGAGGACACCATCCATGGATGGCTTGTATCCGTATTCTGATTGATAGCTATATTTCTTCTTTAACTGTTTCAACGTGTACAGCAGTTGGTCTGCGGTTGGTCGGTGTTCTGGAATTATTTGATAACAAGACTTCCCTACACTTGCTATATCCTCATTTTTTAAATATTTGGTGACTTTACCTATTATATAACCAACGGCATAAATATCCATGGAGGGGTTGCTCTCAAATAAAATAGATTCTGGAGGGAAAAATGGATAGTAAGGTAATGATGTAGCTGACATATCTTGTAAAACACCTCCCCGGAAGCTGGCAAACCCAGTATCAATTACTCGTACTCTGGGATTAGAACCATTCCACATAATCATCACATTGCTACGATGTAAATCATTGTGTAAAACATACTTAGAATGAATTGTTTTTAATGAACCAACTAATTGCTCAAGTACCAACACCCATTGATATACCGTCATGTTTGTATCCGAACAAGCCGAGGAAAGGCTTTGACTATTCGTGATATATTCCATAACCATTGAAATATTATTAGCGTATCGACCAGACGGTATATAACCGTAAAACTTTGGGAATATCCCCGTGTCTTCCAGATACATGAGTATTCTAGCTTCTTTATCCACGTCGAAAAAATCAGTATCTTTATTGAATTGCTTAATAACGACTGGTTTTCCGCCATCTTTCATTTCTCCGAGGTAAACGTTTGCAAAAGTTCCATTATCCAAATACAGAAATTCTCCTTCAGCATCGACGTATCTTATAACCGAAGATTCGTGTAACATCATTGGTTGGAGGTAATTCAAAGACCTGGGTATGTTTTTATCCGTAAAGCCATATTGTTCAAAAACGTTCAGGTCGTCTTCGCCGGGTTTACAGAAAAGGTGATGTTTGTTATGCGCATGTCTGTAAAGATTAACGTACGGACAACTCTCATTAGTTTTCATCTGTGTTGCTTTAAAGAAAATAAAAAAAGAAACAATTTAATTCAGGGTTATTTGTTTATTATTACTAGTTTTAGTGTATATGACCAATAGCCATTATTATATAGGATATACCGGGTATACGTCGAATACTGATTGCATTTTAATTATTTATGAAAGGAAACTGGGTTTTACCGCCCCCTCTAAACAACGGCAGATGCTAATTGTAGGTCGGTTTGGAAGGTTTGGGAATTTCCGCTGATTCCGAATCCGTTCCCATAAATGAGTATTTTGGGGGAATATGAACCCTAACCCTAACCCTAACCCCTTTTTTAGAAGACAGGACTTGTATCCAATGTATCTTTTACCCCTCTTAAAAGGGTTAGGGTTAGGGTTAGCATTCCCCAAAATACTCATTTATATAATGCGGTCACTGTGGATTCAACTTCGGTCCAATTTACCATGGGAAATTCCCGAACCTTCCCAATCGACCTACAATTAGCACCCCCCCCTAAACAACTCCGTGGCCATATGGAGGCTAGCATATCAGAGGGTTTTTTTTACTATGGGTAAGTGGTTCTCAACCTTTTTTAGCCAATGGTACACCCTGGAACACATGAAAAAATAGCGGCACACCTGGCTAAATATATATGAAAAATATTTGAATTTGGCAAAATAAAAACATGGTAAGTCAGAACGTATACAACCGTAGACAGAGACTATTCATAGACACATAGAATGACACAGCTGTAAAAACACAGCTATGAACTTACCAGTAGACACCGGTGAATAATATTCAATTAGGATCATGTGGTTTTTTGCATTTTCTTAGTGTGCTCTTTAAAAATTTCGCGGCACACTGGTTGAGAATCACAGCTATGGGTAAATGTTGAGACAATGTCGTTGCTTTAGGAACATGATGTTCCATATACTTTCAAAATATGTTCTTGTGCACACGCATCTTATACCAACCTTTTGTTATTGCTGTTGTTGTAACTCCTGATATTGCCAGAATCAACACCATTGTTACTTTCATGTAGTTATACATCTGAAAGATAGATTTATTCTGTTTACATTAGGTTTCATCCCAATAGAAAGCTTGATCTCTCTGGCTTAAACACCTTACAGCTAGATGTTGTAAAACTCGTGGTCGTTGCTTCAAGAGAGAGAGAGAGAGAGAGAGAGAGAGAGAGAGAGAGAGATGGGGTTTAACGTCCACTTGACACAAACTACTAGGTCATTTCGGGACTAACATATTGTTCAATTTGTTTCAATAATTCGCTTGCGCGCAGGGGTCTTTAGCAGTGGGATGAAACCGGAGAAAACCCACGAGATTGGACAGGCCACCCTACTCCTTGTCACGTACAACTGAGGAATCGAAACCACGCCAGTTGACTCCATGACAGACCTTATTGTACAAAGCGAACGCTAACCATCACCAAATCTCATACTAAACTTACGCTGTCAATAATTAGCTCCACTTGAGAAATGAAATGAAATGAAATGGGGTTTAACGTCCTACTGTTCTGCTCCTATGCTGGGCTAATGAAGACAGGCATACGCCATACAGAGTGCTATGAGAGAAATTTTGCCCAGACAGCGGCACTATCGCCTACTCTTATATCGAATTCCATCTGCCAAGGGATCTTTTACGTGCATTCCAATGTATACACGGGACCTCGGTTTTTCGTCTCTTCCGAAGGACTAGACAGCTGTCCTTGTCAGGCCCTCCGTCCTGCATCACTGACAAGGGGGACGCTCCACTTGAGAACGGACAGTAAGCTAACTGACCGACATTTTAAGACCTAAATCGTTGAGAAGTATATAATCTGCTTTCATTTAATAAATTGAAACGGTTTAATTTATAGTCTTTATGCAGAGATGTCAACCGGGGTAGGACCGCATTACAAAACAGTTTACTAACGGCAATACTATATACCGGAAAACACCGGAAAACAAGGGAAAACAACCGGAAAACAAGGGAAAACAACCGGAAACACCATTTTATAATGAATACCGGAAAATACCGGAAAAACACTACATGTAAATACCGGAAAACACACTAAATACCGGAAAATACCCTAAATAGGTAACCCGGAGATCTATATTTCGTTTCGTTTTTTTATACTTTCGATGGCCTACACTACATGAAGATCTGACCGGTTGTAGTGAAAGCTCGCGCCAGAGGTCAAACGAGCGTCTTTTAACCCTATGTTTTCATCCAGCGTTGACGTTTTTAGTGGTTTACCCACAGTTTCGTGCAAGAACTCGCCGTAACAGACCGCTTCATTGGCTAATCCCTCACATTAACCAGAACGCTGCTTATATTATAACAACTCTTCCAGATCCTAGTGTAGTGAAAACAAGTAAAACGAAATTTTGAACTATAAAAAACGAAACGAAATAGGATCCATGTTTTAATCAGATTGCACCAAACCTATGCGCATGTCATTGAGTATCTTGCGCATTATGAAATACCACTTTGATACAATACCTTTATGCGTAACTAATTGTATCCTCATCCATCAGATAGCAATCTATATTCTGTATTAAAAGCTCGACTATTTCAAAGCTCAGATGTGACCATAATAATGAAATTTATATTTCATATATATATATATATATATATATATATAGAAACAGATGTATGCAATAAAACAATGTATTAATATCCCTTTCGTCTATTATTTATCATATGTACATCAATATCAAACGACATTGGTTCGCCCAACAAAATGTGTTTAAATTAAATTAAATTGAATCGTCCGGATGAATGGGAAAATATTAAACATGCATTATGCAAGAGCTAAATCTGATTATTGCAAGTCTTAATTTAGGCTTCAGATGTTATAGAAATTATAAATTAGATCTTTATTTAAACAACAAGACCAAAATCAACTCTGTAGACCCACGGATGGCTCGGCTACAGCTCGGATTTAAATAGGATTTCACTAATTGATTAAATCAGATAAGGGGTAACCTGATGAAAATACGTCAGTTAGATCGAGGCTAAATGATAGAGTGTACTTAGCGAGGCCGCTGTAAAGCGTTTCCGTATGCCATTGAAAACTTTACTTGATAATCGAGATATGTAGGTGGAGTTAACGCCTGTCAATCAAACGTTCCGCGAAGGTGAAGACACGTTTCGCTACCATGTCTAGGCAAATATTACAACGATGATAACTATGTTCAAACTAAAGTAATTTGACTGAATTTTTCAATATATTCTTCTTTCATCATCTACTTTTGAACTGTTATAGCAAGAATGGCCAACTCTCTATAAATATCTCCCATAATGTATCTTTAAGCAAGACGCGCAGTGTATATATTGGGTTTATTCAACCGTGTAAATTGACATAGCTATGTAAATATATATAAATCTAAATTATTTGAAGCAAATATCCTCAAGTTTGCACGTAACGATTTTTACTAGATGTTTTAACTATCTTGTTTCTAACCGGATAAAACGCGGTTTCAAAAGGCAAATAAATAATAACCCCATGGCAGAATACATTTAGAGGAAATGAAATGAAATGGGGTTTAACGTCCTACTGTTCTGCTCCGACTGGGATAATGAAGACAGGCATACGCCATGCAGAGTGATATGAGGGTAATTTTGCCCGGACAGCGGCGATACGGCCTACTCTTATATCGTATTACAACTGCCAATGAATCTTTTACGTGCACCCCAATGTGTACAACGGAACTCGGTTTTTAGTCCCATCCGAACGACTAGACAGCTGTCCTTGTCAGGCCATCCGTCCTGCATCACTGACAAGGGGAAACCACATGGGAAAATCCCGATGAACTTTCTCCAGGGACCGAACACCCGACCTCCAAGTTATTGAGTTAGCGTCTTACCCACTTAGCCACCGTGGTTCCCACATTTTAAGGTCTTCACATTCAGCGTACTGTAAACTTGACAGCGTTCTTGTTTAACTGAATACTATCTATAGTATTCGACATTAAAAACACGATTTTAATATTGCTCTTTGTCAATCAATAATGAGGTTGTTATTTTACCCAGTAGAACGTTTATTTCATTTCATTTCTTATTTTAAGAAATGGGGTTTAACGTCCTACTGTTCTGCTCGGAACTGGGCTAATGAATACGGCATACGCTATACAGTGTGCTATGAGGGAAATTTTGCCCGAACAGCGATACTACGGCCTACCTTTATATTGAATTCCAACTGTCAAGGGATATTTTATGTGCACGCCAATGACAAGGGGGGGGGGGGCACGCTGGAAAAACTGGATGAACTTTCTCGGCCAATGCAGGGATCGAACACCCGACCTCCAGGCTAGCGAGCCACTTAGCCACCGTGATTCCCATTTCTTATTTTACCGTGCTATTTAAAACACAATAGCGTCGTGGTTTCTATGACTTCGGACACCAATTTTAATAAGGCGCCTTGATATCAGGGTTAAGTGAAAAGTCAAACCGTACTCGCACTGAAGACTAGACTGCCATTCACTTTACACCGGGAGCCCAGGGTGTCAACCTAGCTGAAAAGTGTACCAATTTTCTCCTATATAGTATCAATGTATGTATATCTGGTATCATCAGAATGTAAGTCTGCCGGGTTTCTGGTGGTGGGTGTGGTATTCCACGCCCTAAATGCCATGACCCTCAACTAGGCTAGATTAGCTCAAAAGTGTACCAAATGAAAATCGTACAGCAGTGTACCGTACATCTTCAGGTATTACAAAAACACTCTGACAGACATTTCTAGTGGTGGGGTACCCCTGACAGAGCTATGTAATTGCCAGACATTTGTAGTGGTGGAGTATCCCTGACAAGAGTTATCTAATATTAGACCAAAGCTAGGCTAGATTAGCTCAAATCTGTATCACCTAAAACAGCTTTGGAGTTGTTCAGTACCACCACAGGAGTCATGAATGACCACTGCCAGACAGTTTGTGCGGTGGGTTACCCCTAACAGACACGCCGCAAAATGCCACGCCCCCAACTAGGCTAACTTCGCAAGCACTGTTCCCGTGTTTTAAAAAATTAAATTTTTAGCCAGGATGCGTAGAATACTAATACCTAGCACGTATGGAAGAGGCGATAAACTGCGGTTGCAAGAAATTGATTTTTGGGAAAAAAACGTTTTATGGGGCTAAAAATGCGTTTTTTGAAAAAAAAATTGTTCCTGGAACTGCAGTTTATCGCCTCTTCTATACGTGCTAGGTATTAGTAATATACGCATCCTGGTACAATTTTTAAATTTTTGGACCACGGGAACAGTGCGGACTAATCTAGTTGGAGGGTGTGGCATTTTGGGCGTGTCTATAAGGGGTAACCCACCGCACAAACTGTCTGGCAGTGGTCATTCATGATTCCTCTCGTGGTACTGAACAACTCCAAAGCTGTTTTAGGTGGTACAGGTTTGAGCTAATCTAGCATAGCTTAAATGGTCTAAATATTAGATAACTCTTGTCAGGGATACTCCACCACTACAAATGTCTGGCAATTACATAGCTCTGTCAGGGGTACCCCACCACTAGAAATGTCTGTTAGAGCGTTTTTGTAATACCTGAAGCTGTACGGTACCTTGCTGTGCGATTTTCATGTGGTACACTTTTGAGCTAATCTAGACTAGTTGGGGGCATGATATTTTGGGCGTGGAATACCAAACCCACCACCAGAAACCCGGCAGACTTACATTCTGATGATACCAGATATACATACATTGATACCATATAGGAGAAAATTGGTACACTTTTCAGCTAGGTTAACCCCCTGGGCTCCTGCTCTAATTTGGCCTGTTCGCGTATTTCCCTGAACATAACTGATTAGAAATTACAATGAAAATGTAAAAACTGAATGTAAATCAGTTTATATAGATTCATATTATTATTAATATCTGCTTTTCGAGCCATTTTCGTTAAATTTAGATTCCAAATAATAGAATTATAGCCCCTTTAATTTGAATTAAGTTTTAAAATAGGTCCTAAAACTCATTTGATTAATTCTATATGCCATTTTATAAATGTATCCTATTTTTAACAACCATATTTTTTTTCCAAATTAAATTTGTATTT